TCTCTCTCTCTTCCTCTCTCTCCCTCCCGCTCTATCTGAACAAAAAATGGAAATGGAAAAATGTCCTCGGGTGAGGATAAAAAAATAAATAAATAAAAATAAAAGGCCCTGGTGTCAATCTGGCCGGTTTGGCTCAACCGGCTCAGTGATTAAAGCATTGGCCTGTGGACCAAAGAGTCCCGGGTTCGATTCCAGTCAAGGGACACATACCTTGGTTGCGGTTTGTCCCCGTCCCCTGTTGGAGTCATTCCAATTGATGTGTCTCTCTCACATCGATGTTTCTCTCTCTCCCTCCCACTCTGTCTGAAGATAAATGTAAAAATATTCTCAGGTGAGGATTAAAAAATAAATAAATAAATAAAAGGCCCTGGTGTCTCCCTCCCAAATTGTGTTGTTCCATGTACACCCTGAGCCCAAGAGATAACTGTCTCTTGGTTTTTATGTTAATCATTCCCTTTGCTTTTTTTCTCTTCAGTTTCCCATTTGTGTGTGATTCTTTTTTATTTATTTATTTTCTTTATTGATTTTAGAAAGAGAGGAAGGGAGAGGGAGAAAGAGAGAGAAGCATCAATGAGAGAGAACATTGATTGGCTGCCTCCTGCATGCCTCTCACTGGGGATCAGGCCCACAGCCTGGGCATGTGCCCTGACCAGGAATCAAACCAGCGACCTCTTGGTTCAAAGGTCGACACTCAACCACTGAGCCACACCGGCCAGGCTGTGTATGATTCTTAAGTAAACTGTTTATTTCTAAAAAACTGGTTACCAAGCACAAATTTGGATGAATAAAGGTCAATATTACCCATAGTACATGATGGAGCTCTCAGGATAAGACAAGCAGAAGAGTCTCTTGATCTTGGTTCACCTCAGTGTCCCTGAGCATTTACAAGAGCCCACTCTGGGCAAGGTCCAGAGTGGGTCCTGGGAAACATGGAGCTCACCATGACAGGGCTTCTGGCAGAGCTGCAGTGTAGTACTGGATACACAAAGGGAATGGGTGTTTATTCTTTCTCTTCCGAAGCGCACATGACTTACCCCCAGGACTAAGAGCAGGTCAAAGCAGAACAACTGAGTGGGGCTGAAATGCGTTCCATTGGCTGCCCCAGGAAGCAGTGCGTCGAGGAGAGAGCAGACGCGGTCGGGACAAAGCACGTAGATGAAAGGACTGAGGGCAGGCTCACCTGGGCATCTGGTTAATAAGACAGTAAGGTGGGAGTGTGATCTCAGGTGATGTCTGTGCACGTCCATTTTTCTGGCATCTCCTCTCACCGTCTTCCGGGGTATTTTCAGTATCTCTCTAACGATCTCTAGCTTCTGGTGTTGCGTTTCTTCTTTCTTGTTCTACCATTTCACCTTGGCAAATTACATGCTCCAGTACACTCTAATTCTTGATTGATGGTTTGGCTAGACATAGAATTCTAAACTGGGAATCACTTTTTCTTCAGATTTTAAAAAACAGTCCTCCATTTTCTTTCATTGTCGTCATATCTGAAGCCATTCTGATTTTCAATCCTTTAGTATGTGACTTATCCACCCCAACCCCCCCCCCCCACCCCCAGTTTGTGGAATCTTCTCTGTTTTCGGTGTTCTAGACATTTTGTTACCATGTTTCAGGGTCAGGGTCTGTTTTCATTCGGTGTGCTCTGTTCTAATGGTAACTCAGGTCCCTCCTGTGTAGGAAACGTGCTAGATCTCGTTGACCATTTCCTCTGCTGCTCTCCTCTTCCCCCCGCGCTGTTTCCTCTTGCTGGAACTTCTGTTGGTTGGATGTTGGATGTCCTGGTCTAGTCCTCTAATTGTCCCCTTTTTTCTGCTCAACTGTGTTAGAGGCTTTGTCAACGTTATTATCCAACCCTTCTATTTAGTCTTGCAGTTTGCATCATGGTTTTACCTTTTGAGAGCTCTTTTTATAGTCTCTGAATGTTCTTTAAAAAAAAAAAATAGAATCTTATTGTTTCTTGGTTATAACATCTTATCCCTTTGAAGATAATGAGCTTTTGCAGTTTTTATTTTTCTCAATATGTGTTTCTTCCCAGTTGCTTTTTGTTCTCTTTGTTCTGATCTCTGTATTTTTAATATAAGAGGCTTTTTGTTTTGTTTTTGTTTTAACTGTCTCATGATTAAAGTGCTTGAATTAAAAAGCTGATAAGAGCCCTGGCCAGTTTTCTCAGTGGTTAGAGCATCGACCTGTGGACCAGAGAGTCCCGGGTTCGGTTCCCGCTAAGGGCACGTACCTCAGTTGCGGTTGGGGTCTTGTGGGTGGCAACCAGTCAGTGTGTCTCTCTCACATTGATGCTTCTCTCTCTCCCTCCTGCTCTGTCTGAAGATAAATGCAAAAATATCCTTGGGTGAGGATAAAAAAAAAAAAAAAGCTGATAAGAAGCCTTGAGCATGCCCGTGAGACTTGTCACCTTTGAGTTTCACTGTAGGATGATCTGGGTGGCATGTTGGGGAAACCCGAAGGCCGGTGCTCTTAGGCATCTTCTCTTAGGCACATCAGATTCTTGAGAGAAAAGGTATGGCTGCTAGCCTTCCTGGAGCCAAGCTGGGGGAGAAGGCTGTGAGCCCCTCCATTCAGTTGTCAGAAAGCATACTTACTCATAACCTTGTTTTCTTGTCCTCAAACCTGCTAGGTGTCTCCCAGTCTAGAGACCCTCTGTTTCCCCATTTTTGGAAAATAAACCTCTGGACATCACCTCGGGCTGGAGGGGCAGTCTCCTTATCTCCCAGTAGCTTGAAGTGGAGGACTGACCTGAGGCAGTACTGTTCGCTGGTACAAATCACCTGAATCAGAGTCAGCTCTGAGTCAGTAGATCTGGGGTGGCGCCTGAGATAATGAGGATCCAATAAGCATCAGGTAATGCGATGCTGGTCCAAGATGGGATCACACTTTGAGTAGCAAGGACCTAGGAATCTCACTGCTGCTCCAACAGCTTCTCACCTTGTTCTTATTTTAGCTCTACTCTCCCCACTCCCACCCCAATTCTGGAGCTTCCTGGGTTCCTCTCTCAAGGATTCTGCAGTGCACATGGCTTAGTTCACAGCCCTACCACCAGTGACTCGAAGCACAGCCTTTTTAGGTTGGCTGAGTCACTTACCGTGCGCCTTCTGCTTTCTGGCTTCCAAAGTGTTCCTTTTCCTGCTGTCTTTGTGAGTTTGTTGTTTTTAAAAATTACTTTGTTTTAGGAGGTTTCAAGCAGGGGCAGAATTCGACGTGTGTGTTCTGCATATTCACCCTAACTAGGTTACCTGCTAACATATTTTCCTCAAGTTTGGTTATATGAGTGTAAATAGAGCCTGATTTGTGATAAAGGTGCTATTTTAAACCTCTAGATCTTTGCACATGGAGTATGCTTTACTGCTCCTTTCCTCCTTTGTCTGCCTGTCGAACTCTTTTTCTTTTGGTAGGTGCCCCTAGTGGGAACCGAACCCAGGACTCTCTGGTCCGCAGGCCGACGCTCCAACCGCTGAGCCAAACCAGCCAGGGCCCGCCTGTTGAACTCTTATGCAGTCCTCAAGATCCATCTCATATAGCTGGCCTCTGTGAAGCCCCTTGGGTCCCCAAATCATTAAAACCTGTGTGTTCTCCTGACTTGAACTCATAGCCGGCTGCTTATACAGTATCTCTTCCAAACAACTGTGCAAGCTCCTCAGGGCTAGAGCTTGTACCTTTGTAGCTCAGTGCCCAGCACATATTAGGAGTTGATAGCTGCTTAACAATTGAATTAACTTCTGTGTCATGTCTGTCTTGCCCCTCGTCTTCATTTTCTTTCTGCTGTCTTCATCTCTTCTGTCTGTTAAGAGGCCATTATGTTTCTTATCTATTCTTTTATCCACTAAAAATTCATGTCCCATATTCTTAATTTTTATAAGTAAATTAGTAAAAAAAAATAATATTTCTCATTTTTAAAACTGACCTAATAAACAAAATAGATTTAAATATTATATAAACTCCATTTGATTTTTCTCCCCAGTTCTAAGGACTGTTAAAAGATACACATTCTCCAAAACAGACCTGGAGAGACAGGAAAGAGTATGGTTCAGACTGACAAACCTCAGAGGAGAGGGGTGGGGGGAGGAATGAGATAAACCAGAAAACTGTAGGCATGTATGTGTAACCAAGGGACACAGACAACAGTGCTTGGTGGGGCGGGATAGGGAGGAGGGAGTCTTGGGGGAGGGGAGAAATATTTGTAACAAAAGTAAATTTAAAAAATAAAATAAATTAAAAATTAAAATTAAATTAAAAAATACATGTTCTCTCAGCTCTAGATAAAGTTATAATTCTTATCAACAATGGAATTATATAAAAGGAGTTGGAATCTAAATGATCTAAATAAACAAAAACATTTTTCAGTTTTTATGTTAAAAAATAAAATGTTTATAAGGGCTACATGCTTTCATTCATGTTTCCAGCCTAGAAAACTCCTTGTGCAGAGCAAATGCACTGCTTTCAAACGTAACCCAGCAGTGTGTTGCTAACCCCATAATGTGTGTGGTTTAAAGGATGGAATCAAGAAAAATACATAATCACACACTCACTATTTCTCAGTGTGAATTCCAGACATTGTGTTAGTTATTTTAACATCTTGTAGTCGAGATAATTTTTCATCTTTTAAAAGAAACAGAAATGCACCTCAAATAGACAATCTAGAAATAGTTGCATTATTTAACTGAAGAGCATGTTTAAGTAGTAATTTAAAACTAAGGAATTTTTCCATTAAGCTGCCATAACATGCTCTATTTTAATTGATTCAGTGAAGATTCTGAGAGTAAATTTTAGTTTGTAATTTTCTATAGCTTGTTACTAGTCTAAATTTTATTTTGCAATCCACTGTTTGCCCTGTATTTATTAATAACATAATCTCATTTATGTCCTCTTTCTCTACACATATTTCAGAAATTATAAGTAAAAACATGAATATAAATGGGGACATTGATTCTGGCTAATTTTTTGGTCTTCATCTTCTTTGATAAGCAGGTATTGATTTCTGACTTTTGAAGATGGATGAAGGTGTAGAAATCTCAAGTGATGGAAACTCCCTGATTAAAGCTGTCCATCAGAGCCGGCTTCGCCTCACAAGACTCCTGCTCGAAGGCGGTGCCTACATCAATGAGAGCAATGACCGCGGGGAAACACCTTTAATGATCGCCTGTAAGACCAAACATGTTGACCACCAGAGTGTCAGTAAAGCCAAAATGGTTAAATACCTGTTAGAAAACAACGCTGATCCCAACATCCAGGACAAATCTGGGAAAACTGCTTTGATGCATGCTTGCTTAGAAAAGGCTGGTCCTGACGTGGTTTCCTTGCTCCTGCAGAGTGGGGCGGACCTCAGCTTGCAAGACCATTCTGGTTACTCGGCCCTCGTTTATGCTCTAAATTCAGAAGATAGAGAGACCCTGAAAGTTCTGCTTAGTGCTTGCAAGGCCAAAGGAAAAGAGGTCATTATCATAACAACAGCAAAATCGCCTTCTGGCAGGCACACTACCCAGCAGTACTTAAATATGCCTCCTTCAGATATAGATGGGTGTCCTTCGCCATCCCCCTGTGCCACCCCTTCGGAAATAGACATAAAAACAGCCTCCTCTCCACTTTCACATTCTTCTGAAACTGAAATGACACTTTTCGGCTCTAAAGATCTGGAGCCCTCAGGAAGCCATGATGATAGTCAGGATCCAGGCTCTCCTGTGAGGAAGCCTGCCGTGGCCCTCAATGGGCCCAAGCTACCCCAGGCTCCACCCTGGATCAAGAGCACCCCCTCATTAATGCACCAGAACAGAGTGGCCTCTTTGCAAGAGGAGCTCCAGGATATTACTCCAGAGGAAGAATTATCCTACAAAACCAATGGGCTGGCACTTTCCAAGCGATTCATCACCAGGCACCAAAGCATCGATGTAAAAGACACGGCGCATTTGCTAAGAGCCTTTGATCAGACCAGCTCAAGAAAGACATCACATGATGAAATAAATTATCAGTCATTTTTTCCAGAAGGGAGTCAGCAATGCCTTGAAAGCCCTGTTGACCAGGACCCAGACTCTAACCAGACAATATTGGCTTCCACCTTAAGAAGTATAGTTCAGAAAAGAAACTCGGGGGCAAATCACTACAGCTCGGATTCCCAGCTCTCGGCTGGCCTCATCCCTACCACTTTAGAAGACGGCCGAGCGTTTACAGGAAAGAAAAAGATCCTCTCACCATCGCCTTCCCTGTTGGCAGGGTCCAAAGAATTGCTGGAGAATGTCGCCCCAGGCCCTCTGAGCAGGAGAAACCATGCGGTGTTAGAAAGACGCGGTTCCGGAGCTTTCCCTTTAGATCACAATTTTACCCAAAGCAGACCAGGATTTCTGCCGCCCTTAAATGTGAATCCTCACCCCCCCAACGCAGATAATGTCAACAAGATTTCCAACCTCCTTTCTTGTGGCCAAAAAGTGCTTATGCCAACGGTTCCTGTTTTCCCTAAAAGTAAAAAAATTTTGTTAAGGAGACAGTCATTGCAAACAGAACAAATTAAGCAGTTAGTAAATTTTTAAGAGATGGCTGGAAAACACATTGTGTTCAAATGTCTGTGTCAGAGAAGGACACAACTAGAGAAGAAATCTCAAATGTTCATCCTTTTAAATCATATATATATATTTTTTTGGTATGTACCCTTAGAGGGAACTGAACCCGGGACTCTCTGGTCCGCAGGCCAGCGCTCAACCTCTGAGCCAAACTGGCCAGGGCCATCCTTTTAAATCTTGTAATTGGCTAGTCCTTAATGGTTAGGGGGGATCAATGTGTACTGTTTATCTTACTAGGCACTGTAGATACAAATAATACATAGTTTCTTGTAAGGGAATTCTCTCAAACAAAATTAAAGCTATTTTTCTCAAAACCTCCAGTGGTTAATAACCTTCATGTGGTCCAAGTTTTTAATTTAAACAAAAACCAACAGAGAAAAAAGGTCACATATGTTGGAGATAACTTTACATTTCTTTTCAGATTTGCCAAATATTGTATTAGAAAACATTGCCTTCAAGTCAATTTATTTTTTAACATTTCAAGTCAGTAAATAAGATTGTCGTTTTCTATGATGCCAAAAGCATATAAGAAAACACTGACAGCTATAAACTGTTCTATGATCTATAAGCTTAAGCTACAAAGAAAGGATGAACTAATTCTTTTAAAATGCAGCCCTGGCCAGTTTGGCTCAGTGGTTGGAGCATCGACCTGTGGACCAAAGAGTTGTGGGTTCGATTCCAGTCAAGGGCACATACCGTGGTTATGGTTCGGTCCCCGGCCCTGGTTGGGGTTGTGTGGGAGGCAGCCAGTCGATGTGACCATCGATGTTTCTCTCCCTCCCTCCCTCTCACTCTAGCTAAAGATAAATGGAAAAATATCCTCGGGTGAGGATTAAAAAAAATTTTAAAAAGCAAAATAAAATGTTGACCGCAAGTAGATGAAAATCTAAAGTTTTAATGGGCAATTATTATAGTAGACTGGAGCACCTAATATTCCTGTTGTCAGCTTAATCAGTGTTAAATGGCAGATTACAGTTTTACATGCTAGTAATAATCTATGCAAAGTGTGTGTGTGCTGTTTTTAGCTTTGCTTTGTTTTGTTTTTAAACATTTAAAAGTATTAACCTATGGAATTCTTTGTCCATATCCTTTAATTCCTGTTGTCCTTTTTGAAGCCCATCCATAGGTTCCCAATAAAAAGATATTTTAAAGTTAAAAAGTATTCCTCTTTACTTATTCTTCTTTCTAAAAACAACCAGAAAAAAAAAACAACTCCCAAATGTCTGAGATTTATCACAAATAGAAACAAAATGTTTTCTTCATTTTAGAAAAGAAAAATGGATTATTAGATTAGTTTAGGTTAGCTAAAATTAACAAAGCCAGTAGAAATTTAATTACAAAATACTAAATATCCAGTCAATATTCAGTACTAAATATTCAGTCAATATTAAACAATATCTTTTTATTTCTGATATATAATGATTAGAAATGTCTACAATAAAGATATATAAGAATAATTTCCTCAGTGTAACATTCCAGTCATGTAGTATTTTAGGACCTGTGAATAATTTTTAACAAAATAAATGAATATCATGTTACTATTATAAAATATTATAAAATGGCTATATTACCTATACAATTTCAAAATGTGTTTATACAAAGAATCCTTATTTCAGTCTAGCAGTTTACAATAAAAAATAAACCAGACTATACAAAACCTGAGTGTATTAATTTGATGTTGTCATATACAACTTTATTTCTTTGCCTTCTATCAGTAAGAAGCTCCTAACAATTGGTATCATGCTTTTCGTAGTAATTTGATATAAGCAAGTTGTAATGTAGATAGTAATTATTTAATTTCTTGTGGCTTTTACTTGGAAAAAAACTGGAGATGTTCCATTTAATGTTTTGAAGAACATTAATATTATATTAGAAAATATTTTGATTCAGAACTTAGAATTGTACCTGATGTTTATAGGCCGCTAAACCCTTTTTGCAAGTTCTAATATTGAGAAATGTGCTTGGCTTTAAGTTGTAAGGATACAGGTTGGAAGAATATGTAAATAGATTAGTTCGTAAACAAAATGGTATCAATAAAGGTTTAAAATGTTATTTTAATTATCACTGGTTTTTATTTATCTCAAATATTAATGATAAATATTAATACTAAACATAATCTCAAGAGAAATTGTGCTACATGTGTTACTTTGAGTAAAAAGAAAACTAAGGGTAACTTTTGCTATTCTAACCCCAACATGAGAAAAAAATATGTATTCAGTAGGATTAAAACGTTGTTGGCCGTATTTGGAAGAGTTTGTAATCATCCGTCAATCCTAAGAACACTTAGGGGCTGAGGCTGTGTGAGCCTGGTTGTAAAGCCATCCCATGGGACATTTCACTCCATTCAGGAGAATGGTATCACTGGCATCCCAGTGGTGAGTCACAGATATTTGCAACAGGAATCAGATATGTATGTAGGTCCAGAGTTTATTAGCTCCCGAATTCACATGGTAGCAACAGATTCAGTCAATATTTCAATTAAATATTTTGAACTCTTATTACATTCTTTCACCCCAAGGAAGAGATAAAGAAGAAAGGGGCAATGACCAGCCTTAATGAAGATCTACAGCAGCAACCAAATCCAGAACAGCTCAGCCACCAGATTTGGCCAGGCTGGTCCCTTAAGTCTGCAGAAGCATAGAAACAAAAGAACCTCCTTATAGGACAGGAGCCTGGGCGAGCCCCTTTCAAGCTCTGCCTGTTTTCTCTGTACTCTGATGGTGGTATTGTGGGGGTAGTTTTATTATTTAAGATCATTACTTTAAAGTATATAGTAAAGTAGCAATTACTTTGAAGGGTCCTTTAAGAAACTGGTAGAATTAAATAAACAAGAGCATCCTTCTAAAGTTAACATGGAAGGTGAGTTCAGGGGCAGGCAGATGGGGTTTTCACTTTTCTTTCCAAGTCGGTATCAATTAGCAATATCAACTGATCACTGAGAAATACAGCTACACCTGGCCCCTGTTTGGGTCAGTGGCACCACCTGACCCTCTGTTACTGAAGCCAAAACTGTATATGCTAGATTCTTCCCTCTCTCACATCTTCCCCATTCAAGCAGTTTAAAAACTCTTACAAGTTCTTCCTCTTAACCTTTGCTCTCTCTTGGTTCTTCCCATCCCCTTCTGCTACCACCTTAATTCAGGACTTCATCTCCTTCCCATGCTATTGTAATCACCTTTCTCGCACTCAAAAGTGGTAACACTTCCTTGCTTAAAATGGTGTGATGACTTCCCTGGCCGAAGAGTAAAGGAACAAATTTCTTAACATGGAAAATTATTCTGGCCCCTGAGTAAATGTCCTGCCTCGTAGCACGGTAATTTGTTTGAACAGGTCAGATTGGGCTCTTTCCCATTTAGAGTTCCTTCGCTCGCATGCCTCTGCCTGAAAGACCCTTCCCTCTGTAAGTCTCCCTGGTGAATATATTCATCGATCAAGACACAGCTTAAATGTCTTCTAGCCGTTAGAACAGACTGCGATCTTTTCACCACAACCTGGTCTCTAGTTCCATTACAGGAGTTACAGCAAATATCCAACTTATTATTTATAGGTCTCCCTGTCTCTGCTAGATTGTACAATCCTTGAGGTAGGAATCATTTCTGAATTACTGGCACAGCCTCAGCACCAAAACATCACTTAGATGCCTGCCTTTCCCTCCCCACAGAGTTCCGACTGAGCCCTGAAATCATGTCTCCCTCATGAGAGGCACAAGTGACTGAACAAATTATGGTACCTGGACCAAAGAATGGTGGATACAAGGGAGAGACAAGCCATCACAATGAAGAGTAAGAGTGACAATGTTGGGGACACTAGAGCAAAGACCTGCTACTGAGGTCCCAAGGGCTCCCTGCTTCTTCCAAGCCCTGGTTATCAGCTCTTGGTTTCACTGATTCATTATACGTCCATTTCCTAGATAAAGTTCTTAACGTTCAACTATTTTCTTTGCATTGATTATACAATTTCTTTGCATGAATATACAATTGCAAACACTTTGTAGGCTCCAATGAGGTAGGCTCACACCTTAAACTTCAAGGTGAACGAGCATTTTTTTCCTATATATTCACTAGGTAATTAATTTTTTAATTAAGACAAAAAAAAATCCAAGACCCTAGCTCCAACAAGCAAGCAAATAAACTGTTATGAGTAACTTTTAACAATTCCTTACTTGATAAATGAATATATAACTGGTTAATTAGCAACTACATCATTACAGAACCATAAGCTCCTGCACTTCTAAAAGTTCTGATTTTTTTTTAACAATTTAATCTTGTGCAGTCTCTTCTAGGGATAGGATTGCTCTGCCAGGCTTGGGAAACAACCCTTGAATGCTTAAGATCTCAATACCAATACATTAGACCTGAGAACTTGGAGGGGAAAAATAGATGATACTTAAGCTTTTACTTATTTTGTGTCTGTTAACTTATTCCCAAATATTTTCTATGTATATAAATGCCCATAAAGACATACAATTTTACATAAATGGTATAATACTACACACGTTTTGCAGCCTGCAGTATGTTGTAGCATCTTTCCCCATTAATAAATGTAGACTGTGTCTACATTATATTGATGGCATTGTTATACATTATGGTTTAAAAATATTAATATTATTTAATAACTAAATTGGAAAGTGTTCAAGTCTTTTGCCCATTTTTAATTGGGTTATTCAGCTTCTTTTTAAAAATCAGCTTTTAGGAGTTCAGATTCAGAGAAAGAGCCATTTGTCAGAAATGTGTTCATGATATTTTTTGATGAGAAGTTTTAGATTTTGATAAAGCCCATTAATCAGTTTTTTTTAATCTTATGGTTAGTGTTGTGTTATAAGAAATCATTGCCATGGGGGTGGAGGAAATAGGGAGAAGTTGGAAATATCTTACAATTTTATGTCAATTATAACTCAATAAAGCTGAAATTTTAATAAAGAAATCATTGCCTACTCCAAAGTAACAAAAACATTCCTCTTTATTCTCTTCTAAATGCCTTATAGTTTTAGCTTTCACATTTAGGCCTAAGATCCAACTCAAATTATTTGTGTATGGTGTGGTGTAGGGTCAAGGAAGGGTCATTTTTTTTCCACATGGATATCCATTTAAGTTTTACTTTTCAACATAATAATTTTATAATTCCCATATATTTTTGTTTCTGAGAACACTTTAAAATATACCTTTAAATTTTAATCTAAGTGACATTCAGTTGATATACTCAATATAAAATAATTTTTACTTGAGACTAATATTTTAAAAAGTATTATAGGTTAGATAATCAAGTGGTAAAAATAATCTTCTGGACAAGTGAATTTTATTTCAATCTTCATTAAAATAAAATCCATTTATAAATTCAATTCCCTTTATAAAAGAAAAGCATGGTCATTTTAGAAAATTTATAAATTTAACATTTTTTACAATAATTGTAAGAGATGTTCTTTGTTGCAATTGTTAAAATTTTATAACTATTAAATTGTACCTTTTGCTTTTGACAAACAATAATAGAAAGTGAAGCTTTAGTTGTTATTTGACAAATAGTACTGCATTTAGTTGGAGCTAAAATTTAAAGTGGAAATGTGACTGATTTAGGTATTTGTATGTCTACAATATTTCATGTTATATTGCTTCCTGCTATCGATCTACAGCGAACACAAGCCTTGCTCTGTGAAGAGCGCTGACCTCGACGCATGCTCCACAATGGCTCTCCCTTAAACCTCCCTTAAACCCCAGGAGAGAATCCATTCCTATTTTATAAATGAGGAAACCAAGACTTGGGGAGGTTAAATATTTCCCCAAACCATGGCTAGTAAGGAACAGAGGTGGGGCTGTAAGGGAAGTCTGTCTGAATTCAATACCCAAGATCTTTTTTCCTAAATAGAGCTACTTTGTTCTCTGAGAGAAAACTGTCAATAAACAAAAGGCAAATTACATTTCTTAGGATATTCATTGGTAAATTGCTTTTCAATAAAGCAAAGAAGCAAGGTTTTTCTGAATATCTTGCTCAAGACTTTATGCCAAGACTGTGGACAGTTAAGAATGCTCCCTTGCCCTGGCTGGGTGGCTCAGTTAGTGGGAGCGTCATTCAGGACACCAAAAGGTTGTGGGTTCAATTCCCAGTCGGGGCACATACCTAGGTTGTGGGTTCAATCCCTGGTCAGGGTGCATAGGGGAGCTTGATCAATGTTTCTCTCTCTCTCTCTCTCTCTCTCTCTCTCTCTCTCCCTCCCTCCCTCCCTCCCTTCTTGTCTCCCTCTTTCTCTCTCTCTAAAAAAAAAAAAAAAATCAATGAAAACATCCTCAGGTGAGGAGTGAAAAAAAAGGAATGTTCCCTTACCATGAAGGACTTTATAATTTAGCTGAGGAGACATAACATGTATGACACAACTAGTGAACAATATTAAATAGTTAAAGTTAACTGTTTAAGATCTAGAGACTACTGAACTAGGCATTATTGAAATGAAGAACTGTGTTGGAGGACACCGAGTTGACTTTTAAAAAAAAAAAAAATTTTTTTTTATCCTCACCCGAGGACATTTTTCCATTTTTTTTTGCACAGATAGAGTGGGAGGGAGAGAGAGGAAGAGAGAGAGAAACATCGACGTGAAAGGGACACATCGAGTGGCTGCCACCCGCAAGACCAACCAGGGCCGGGGACAAACTGCAACCGAAGTACATGCCCTTAGCGGGAACCAAACCCGGGTCTCTCCGGACCGCAGGCCGATGCTCTAACCTCTGAGCCAAACCGGCAAGGGCACCGAGTTGACTTTTAGACTGAGAGTACAATAGGAAGGGCCTTGAAAGAGTAAACTTCAATAAAATTGAATTTAAGAAGCCCCTGGAGTTTTCTGATTTGGCATAAATGAAGAGGTGTTTAATTTTTCTTCTTCAGCAGAAATACTCAGGGTATCTCTCAGTGTGAAGAATGAAGTCATGAAGAAATAGATTTTGAAATTCTAGGAGCGGAACAAGGGTGTGCACTAAGGTGGTGCTGGTGAGACACCTGATAATCAGATGATATAAAATTCTGCTCTCCAGCAGCATTTTGCTCACAACAGAGAAGATACTATGATTGAAACAAAGAATACAAAGATATCCACACAGTCGGCATGCCCCCAACAATATGGAAATCCTAGATCCATCGAATTCAATGTAAACTGTTTTCAGTAAGTAGACTTGGTTTTGTTATACGATAGCTGTTCAGAGTTTAACCTGTGAGAGTTAAAAACATGTTTGAAGCCTTCTTCCTCTTTTGTAGTCTCTGAAATAACCAGTTCTCCAGGAAAATGGGAAGAGGGTGCCACATTTTTGTGGATCTCTGGAATGTTAAGTGCCAACAAAATGTGATTCCTACCTGTATTGTGATACATGGATTCTTTTCGTCATCTTCAGTACATAAAAATTATATTTTATAAAGGATTTAAAAATATCATTTTTCTACATTAGTGGACTAGGCCCACTGAAATCTCTCCTTTCCAAATCTTTTAGGTAAGTACAGTATTATAAGGACACGCCTAATACATAGAAAGCACTCAATGTTTTTTGATTGAGTTATGAATTGGAGCATAACTCGATCATCATAATTTATATAGTAATTAGTTCAGACCAAAAGCAGAGAAGGATTATGAAACCAAAACATGAAATAATTTAGAAGAATCTTCTTCTTAGAGATTAACTTTGATTCCAATGGCTTGTTTAAATTCATGATTTTGTGGTTCCAAGATATCATAGAAAACTTGTTTTTTGTCAAAATGGTCTCTAACATAAAGTAAATCTTCTGTGGAATAGTTATCATTTTTTCCAGTCCAAATAGTCAGGCTGTACCTGCATTAAAACAAAACAGAATTATATAGTTAAAAGTGAAAGATAAGAAACAGTGATGAGAAATTCCAATCAGCCTAAAAATAGTTACTCTCATTTGTCTCTAACCCAAATTCAAATAGATGAAAAAAATAAAATTAGCAATGATGGAACTATTCTTTCATTCCTCCATCAACATTAAATGGACTAGAGAGAGAGAAAATCACATTGCTATTGCTAACTTAGCTAACTACTGTATCTGAATTACAGGAATGTTAAATGGCTTTAGAAACCCAGACTAGCAGCACTGAAAATAGGCCAAATTTTGGACAAAAGAACTGAGGAGATTGTACTACTGATCAAGGAATCTAGTTTCCACATAAAAATTACAGCTCTAACCTGAATTCCTTCAGCAGCCGGACCAGAATCAAAGCACAAATGGAAGGGACTATGAAGAGACACAAATGTCACTGACATCCCCAACATTCTGTCCCCACTATCCTTTCTGGGTTTTTGTATGAGATATGGCAAAAGACGTCACAAGAATGGCAAATGGAATAAACTTAGATCCATTTCTGGAGTTAAAAATGATAATAATATATGCATATTTATTATGAATATAAGAATATGCTCAGAATTTTAATGTTATTTAAATTATATGTTTTCATTTCTTTCAGTGACATTACTATTACATTGTCCCTATTGCACTGGAGTCTTGGGAAATGCAAAGCTGTTAAGTAGTTCCGTACTTATTTTCTCCATAAACATGTCAGAATCCAGGGGAAAATCTCCAAAGCATTTTTTTCCACTAATGATAAAAAAACAAAAGTCTAACCAAGATATAAATTCTTGTTATATTGACACATTCCTGTCCTTGAGGTTGGTGACACCATTCTGGAAATGTAACAGAAGGAAGCAGTACTACATGATAAATCAAAAGGAATTTTTAAACTACAGCTGACAACATAGAAAAGAAAAAATGAGAATTACTTTAAAAACCTGTATTTTGCTAAAATGGCATCTTTACTACTGTATTTGAGCACCATGGTGACAAAACTTATAAAAAGACACAGATATGAACTGAGGTTCAAAGAAGAGTTTCCAGGGTTAATTTTGCATCTTTTAATCTTCCCTCTATAGTACTGAAACTGAAATAAGAAAAATAAAATTGTCTAAGGGTATCTTTAATTGTATTCTTTCAAATCAATTCTTAGGTTTTTATAGCCCTTTTTATTGTGAAATAATATATATAAGAAAAATACATAAAATATAAATACATATTTTAACAAAGTATTAGAAAATGAATTCCAGTGTAACCAAAACAAATGAAAAATAGATATCACCAGCACCTCGAGAGGCACCTGTCTGTTACTGCCCCATCACAGCCCCGCCTCTCCCCTGGAGTCCCCACAACCTTGACTTCTGTGGTAGCCTTCTTCTTGCTTTCTTTGTGTACCAACTATATATGCATCCCTAAACAATACAGTTTAATTTTTGCCTGTTAATGAATTTTATATAAATAGAATCATATGGTATATATTATTATTTTTGGTCTTACTTTTGCTGAATATTTTTTGTGAAATTCATCCAAGTTGGAACATGTAGCTAGAGCTTACTCATTTTCCTTGGAAACAGTTTAGCATTATCTACTCAAGTTGAAAATATGAATACCCTATGACCTACAAATTCTATTGCTAGAACTCCCTCCTGATATAACCTTTCTAAATGCAGGCTCATGTGTACCACTGTGTGTGTGTGTGTGTGTGTGTGTGTGTGTGTGTGTGTGAATGTTCTCAGCAGCAATCTAAATGTCATTCAGTAACAGAAGAAATAAATAAATTGTGCTATACAAATAACAGAATGATAGTTTTTATAAAGTCTATATTGGAGCCCTTCTGAGTTACAAAAATCTTCCTTAATTCTGTGCCTAATCTGTTCACGCTCTACATGGTATCTTTTGATGGCAAGTGTTTCTGAATTTTAACGTATTCAAATTATTCAAACATATCCCTTGATGCTAGTGATTTATATGTCTTGTTTAAGAATTATTTCCTTTCCCCAGTGTTATGAAGATATTCTCTAGGGATTACATTAAAGCATTGTTGTTTTACCTTTTATATTATTCTTTTTTTAAAAAAAAACAACCTCTGAAAGGGATGGAATTAAGAGAAACGCAAAATTAAGGACAGAGGAAAACAAATCAACAGCAGCAGTAGCAACAGAGAAGAACTAGACAGAGATGTAGAAGAACCCACCTAGTGCAATGCCACAGCAGCGAAAGACAGACAGTTTCAGACTGAAGGGGTGGCCAGCAGTACTTAATTAAATATTGCAGAGGTTAAGAATTTGGCTTGAACACAGTGTCATGTTCCAATGAGAAATTTCAGGAGAGTGACTGGCTACATAAGAAGTGGAAGATGAGAACATTGAGGCAGTAGATAACGAAAAAAATGGGATGGTTAGAACATCCTGTTTGAACATGGGAACCTGAAGTCAGCACTGCTTCCTTTTTCTCCTAAGACTCACTCAAAAGCAGCAAAAAGGTCTGGCCAGTATGGCTCCATGGTTGAGTGTTGACTCATGCACCAAGAGGTTGCTGGTTTGATTCCCAGCCAGGATACATGGCCAGGTTGTGGGCCTGATCCCCATTGGGGGGCATGCAGGAGGCAGCCAATCGATGTTCTCTCTCATCGATGTTTCTATCTCTCTCTCCCTCTCACTTCCTCTCTAAAATCAATAAAAGTAAAAAAAAAAAAAGGCAGCAAAAAGAACAGAAGAATTAAAACAGAAACTTGATATTCAATAAAATTAAGAAGGAGCAGAAACTGAAAATTACAACACGGTTTCCAATAGCAATGGATTAACGCCAGATGGGTGCATAAGGAGGTGGAGTTTGCCCATGTCTGCAGATTACAGAGGAAGCCTACAAAAGACACTTAGAGATAAGAGGCATATTCTACCTAACCCTTTGCAGACCTATAAGTGGGAATGTTCCTACATTTGGTTTGGTCTCAAGAAGCAGTGGAGACAAGGAAAGAGTTTACACAGGAAAGCCATAGGGACTAGGACTGCTTCTGTGGAAGCCCAAACTTTAAAATGTAAGAGACAGGTGAAAGATTTTACTTAAAGATACCAAAACTGTCTATCTGCACTGCTGACTGGGGAGAAGTTAAAGGTTAAACACACTCGCACAAAGGACTCGGGGTCATAAGAACTATAGTCCTGGTTCTTCTCCAATATAAACTTCAGACAAGTAGCTTGTCCAGGAAAAACTCACTTTCTTCAAAGTACAGAATCAAAATAAATTTGACAGAAGTTTTATACAGGAAGAGTACAACAAAATATAAGAAAAAACAAATGGTACATGGAATAATAAAAACCTCATCTTCAGCCCTGGCTGGTTTGGCTCAGCAATTAGAGTGTTGGGTTCAGACCAAAGAGTCTTGGGTTTGATTCCAGCCAAGGGCACATGCCTTGGTTGCGGTTCGGTCCCTGGCCCTGGTCGGAGTCATTCGAGAGGCAAACAAGCGATGTGTCCCTCTCACGTCTATGTTTCTCTCTCTCTCTCCCCCTCCCACTCTATCTGAAGATAAATGGAAAAGGAGGTCATCAGTTCAATTCCTGGTCAGGGCACATGCCTGGGTTGTAGGCCTGGTCCCCAGTGTGGGGCATGCGGGAGGCAGCCAGTGTTCTCTCATTGTGCTTCTATCTCTCTCTGCCTCTCTCTTCCTCTCTCTCTAAAATCAATAAAGAAAAAATATTTAAAGAGAAAAATATCCTCAAGTGAGGACTTAAAAAACAAAAACTCACCTTCAAACAACTATCAGATAGCTGAAACATATATAAAACGAATGCCACAAAGCTGATGAAAACCAAAACCAAACATTTTTTAAATGATGCAATTGCCTCTCTGAATAAAGAGCACAAAGCTGAGGTATGAGCTCACATGCAAGACAACAGAAAAGAGATGATAAAACATTAATGAGCAGATCTTAGGAAAGAAGTGGAAAGTTAATACTATTATGGAAACAAGGTGAAATCTGAAGATATATAGGGAGAAAAGACATTGTTGAAAATACTGTAAGGGACAGAGAAGACAAATTATAAAATAAAGTAAAATAAATTAAAAGGAAAGAGAGACTAAACAGAAAAAATAGATAACAAAGATAAGCAAAGGAGATCTACATATTCATAACAGGAGTCCCTAAAAGAGAAATCAGTGTTACAAATGCAAGAGAACAGTATATAAAAATATACTTCACAGAAATATTCTAGAAAAGAACATTTTAATATACATATTGAAAAGAAGACCACACTCCTGAAAAAAAACTGGTACAGAATGGTCCATATCAAGACAGTCTAGTAAAACTACTAAGCCTCAAAGACAAAGAACCCAGCAGGGTTGCTCAGTTGGTTGAAGCGACATCCCATACACCAAAATAGTTTCAGGTTCAATTCCTGGTCAGGGCACATGCCAGGGTTGTGGGCTTGATCCCCAGTAGGGGGCATGCGGGAGGCAGCCGATCAATGTTTCTCTTTCACATTAATGTTTCTATCTCTCTCTCCCTTCCTCTCTCTAAACAATCAATAAAAACATATTTAAAGAAAAAGTTTTTATAGAATAGACTTCTGAAATTATGATAGAATTCAGGGAGAAACTATCTTATCTACTTACAACTTTTTGTGACTGTATAACAATGAAATAAGTGAATCTACTGGGCACCTATTATGTGCAAAACCTGTGAGAAATAGACGCTGTTAAGGCTCACTGAGGAGCTTCATTCTAGGGAGGGAGTCTGTGCTTACACATTCAGTGTTCATTCTCTCACATACACTGTGTTGACGTACCAGTTTTCATCCTTTGTGTCTGTCTCTCACACACACTCCTGTACACACCCTATATTGATAAACTTATACATACCTGTTTGATTTCTTTAAGAGCCAAAGTAACTGAGAAAAAGACTGCTTGACTAATGCTGCTCGGACTGGAAATGTTACAGGCTGACTTAGTTGATTACATATGTATTCCATCTCTTTCACCATTGTCCAACTGTACCCTAAAATGAAGAGAAAGAAATTTAAGTTTTCTAATTGGAATACTAAAGTTAATTAAATAAAAACTAAATTACATGTGTAAATTCATAGGTAATTCATACAAATTTCCATTTGAATTCAAAGTGAATTAAAGTATCACTTAATGCAAGAAAATATTTTGGGTAGAAAATGTAGATCTAAAATAGTGCCACAAGTAACCTATAACAAATTTAATTTAAAATTTACATTTTAAAAAGAATTTACTAAGGCTTTGGCCAAGTAGCTCAGTTGGTTAGAATGTCACCTGGATTCAATGCCCTGTCAGGGCACATACAAGAAGCAACCAATGAATGCATAAATACGTGGAACAACAACTCTCTCTCTCCCTTTCTCTGTCTCTCCAAAATCAACCAATAAAAAAAAGAATTTATTAATATCTCAAGCACAAAAGATTTTGACACAGTAGTTACTTTAAAGATCCTAGGACTCTTAGGTATTTCCTCATCATCTATATTCTTTACAAACTAAGATATTCCATTTCTGTTAATTAAGTTTTCTTTTACAAGACAAAGATAGATATTAGGTGTTGATTAGCTGATTAAGTAATAACTTCAAATTTTTAAAATTTATTTATTTATTACTTTTCTATTGCATTTATCAGGGTGACATTTAACTTCAATTTTAAAATTTTTGACCAGTCCAGATTTCTAATACATTTTACCTAAGATAGAAACAGTGGTAAAATTTACTGATATATGTGTTTTAAATTGTGGTAGGGCACTATACAAACACACTTGACTGTTTATAAACAGTTTCAGAAAAAAATTATATTTTAAAAATAACCCTAAACTCTATCAAAAGCAGGTTGTAAAAAGTATTGGTCAGTAAAAGAACAATTTACAGAAAGCCTATGTGAATATGTTAATTTAGCAGCTAACTTTCTCATGAAAGAAGGGAAATGTCCACTTTCCTTTAAGATCTGAAAAACTATTTATTTTTAATTAGAACAAAATTGCTAACAGAAGCTATACTTACATTACTATAAACTTACAAACTCTCTTTTCTAAAATCTGTGGCATGAGAAGTAAAGGAGGGTGAAGCAGATGTTGGGAATGACAAGAGGCCCGTGGGGAAAGGCAGCCCGGCAACGTTCCACACCAACGTGACTTAAAGGCCCAGGTAAGGTTTAACTCACTTCAAGCCTGAGGTTAAAGCCAGAGTTAAACAGTGACTAAAAGGAGTTAATCAGAATCAGTTACTAAATCATTTCTAGTTTACATTTCTTTAAACAATTTAAATTATATGCTACATTTTTTTTTTATCCTTACCCGAGGACATTTTTCCATTTTTTGTTCAGATAGAGTGGGAGGGAGAGGGAGGAAAAGAGAGAGAAACATCGACGTGAAAGGGACACATCTAGTGGCTGCCACCCGCACAACCCAACCAGGGCCAGGGACAAACTGCAACTGAGATACACACCCTTAGCAGGAACCAAACCCGGGTCTCTCTGGACCACAGGCCGACACTCTAACCGCTGAGCCAAACTGGCCAGGGCTATATGCTACATTTTTAATTAAACTAATAAAAATTAAAATGATTAGAAAATTAAACTAGGATTAAGTTAAAACATATTTTTTTCTCCCAATTATATCAATTGCTGGTTCAGGGGGAATAACCTAAGTGTCACTACTCACTAGATAGCAGTTACTCTAATCTCACATTAGACTTAAAAACTTTACATCTAACCCTGGCCGGTTTGGCTCAGCGGTTGGAGTGTCAGCCTGTGGAACAGAGTCCTGCGTTCGGTTCCCGCTAGGGGCACGTACAAAAACAAAAAAACAAAACCCCACAAAACTTTACATCTAAAAACAATAATAGCAAATAAGAACAAAAAAAGGAATGCCCTGAACACAGGATAAAGGCTAACATTATCACAGATTCTAAATACCTTCTTTTTAAAAAAATAAATTTATTGGAGTGACTTTGGTTAACAGGATAATAGAGGTTTCAAGTGCACATTTCTGTAACACAGGATCTGTATATTGCACTGTGTACCCACCACCCAAAGTCAGACTATTTTCCATGACCATATATTAAGGCCCCCTCCACCTGCTTCCCACTGGTAACCACCACACTGTTGTCTGTTCCATGAGTTTCAATTTCATATCCCACATATGAGCGAAATCATAAGGTTCTTAGCTTTTTCTGACTTACTTCACTTAGCATACTATTCTCAAGGTCCATTCATGTTGTCACAAATGGCAGTATTTCGTCTTTTCTTTTGGCTGAGTAGTATTCCATTGTATATGTACCACATCTTCATTATCCAATCCTCTACTGAAGGACACTGAGGTTGTTTCCATGTCTTGGCCGCAGTGAATAATGCTTCAGTGAAGGTAGGGGTGCATATATCTTTGGGAATACATGTTTTCAAGTTTTTCAGGTATATACCCAGGAGACGGATTGCTGGTTCATGTAGTAGCTTTATTCTTAATTTTTTTAGGACTCACCAGACTGTTTTCCATAGTGGCTGTGCCAGTCTATATTCCCATCAGCAGTGAATAAGGGTTCATTTTTCTCCACAACCTCTCCAACACTTGTAATTACTTGTCATGTTGTTAATAGCCACTGTAACAGGTATGAGGTGGTATTTCATTGTAGTTTTGGTTTGCATTTCCCTAATAGCTAGTGAAGTTGAACATCTTTTCTTTTTTTTTTTTTAATCCTCACCCGAGGATATTTTTCCATTTTTTGTACAGATAGAGTAGGAGGGAGAGAGAGAGAGAAACATCGACGTGAAGGGACACATCGAGTGGCTGCCACCCGCACGACCAACCAGGGCCGGGGACAAACTGCAACCGAAGTACGTGCCCTTAGCGGGAACCGAACCCGGGTCTCTCCAGACCGCAGGCTGACGCTCTAACTACTGAGCCAAACCGGCCAGGGCTGAACATCTTTTCATCTATCTGTTGGCCATTTGTATATCTTCTTTTGAGAGGTGTCTGTTTGGGTGCTCTGTTCTTTTTTTTTTTATCCTCACCCAAGGACACTTTTCCATTTTTTGTTCAGATAGAGTGGGAGGGAGAGAGAGAGAGAGAAACATCGACATGAAAGGGACACATCGAGCGGTTGCCACCCGCATCACCCAACCAGGACCGGGTGCAACCGAGGTGCGTGCCGTTAGCGGGAACTGAACCTGGGTCTCTCTGGACTGCAGGCCGATGCTCTAACCATTGAGTCAAACCGGCCAGGGCTCTGCCCATTTTTTAATTGGATTGTTTATTTGGTGTTGAGTTGTATGAGTTCTTTATATATTTTGGATATTAACTCTGTTGGAGCTGTTGTTTGAAAACATCTTCTCCCATTCAGTCAGTTGCTTTTTTGATTTGTTGTCACTTTCTTTTGCTGTGCAGAAGTTCTAGTTTGATACAGTCCCATTCATTTATTTTTGCCTTTACTTCCCTTGCCTTTAGGGTCAAATTCATAGAATGTTCTCTATGACTAAGGTCCATAATATTAGTACCTGTGTTTTCTTCTATGTAATTTATTGTTTCAGATCTTATATTTAGGTCTTTGATTCATTTTGAATTAATTTTTGTACAAGGGGACAAACTGTAATCTAGTTTCATTCTTTTGCATGTGGCTTTCCACTTTTCCCAGCACCATTTATGGAAGAGGCTTTCTTTACTCCAGTGTGTGTTTTTTGCTCCTTTGCCCATATACATGTGTTTTTATTTCTGGGTTCTCAATTCTTTTCCATTAATCTCTGTGTGTGTGTTTTCTGCCAATACCATGATGTTTTGATTATTGTTGCTCTGTAGTACAATTTGAAGTCAGGTAATGTGATATCTCCAGCTTCGTTATTTTTCCTCAGGATTGCTTTGGCTATTTGGGGTCTTTTGTGGTTCCACACAAATTTGATGATTTTTTGTTCTATTTCTTTTTAAAAAATGACTTTGGGACTTTGATGGGATTTGCATTAAATCTGAACTATTTATTGCTTTAAGTAATATGACCATTTTAACTGTTAATTCTTCCAATCCATGAACACAGAATATCTTTCCATTTCATTGTGTCTTTTTCAATCTCTTTCAATAATGCTTTGTAGTTTTCAAGTATATAGGTCTTTCACCTCCTTTAAGTTTATTCCTAGGTATTTTATTCTTTTGGTTGCAATTGCAGTAGGAATTTTTTTTTTTCCTGAAGTTCTGTTGTCAGTATATAGGAAAGCAGTGGATTTTTGTACTCTGATTTTGTATCCTGCAACTTTACTGTATTTGTTTATTGTTTCTAATAGTTTTTTGGTGGAGTCTTTAAGGTTTTCTATATACAGAATCATGGTCATCTTCAAAAAGTGACAATTTAACTTCTTCCTTCCCAATTTGAATGCCCTTTATTTTTCTCTTGTCCTATTGCTCTGGCTAGGACTTCCAGAACTATGTGGAATAAGAGTGGTTAGAGTGGGCATCCTTATCTTGTTCCTGATTTGAGGAAAAGCTTTCAGTTTTTCATCAATGAGTATGATATTGACTGAGGATTTGTCATATATGGTTTGTATCATGTCGAGATACTTTCCTTTTATACTTATTTTATTGACAATTTTAATCATAAATGGATGTTGTATCTTACAAATGTTATTTCTGTACCTACTGATACGATCATATGATTTTTATCCTTTCTTTTGTTAATGTGGTATATTGCATCGATCGATTTGCATATGTTGAACCATTCTTGTGCCCGTGGAATGAACCCCACTTGATTGTGATGCATTATTTTTCAATGTATTGTTAAAATTGATTTGCTATTTTTAATTGTTTATTTATTTAGTTTTTGTTACAGATGTTTCTCATTTTCCCCCCATTGACACCCTCCTCCCCTTCCCCCCACCCCATCCCCAGCTTTGTTGTCTATGTTCATTGGTCATCCATGCATGCATGTAAGTTCTGTGGTTTATCTCTTCCCCCACAAACCCCCCTTCCTCTGAGGCTTGTCAGTCTGTACCCCACCTCTATGTCTCTGGGTTAATTTTGTTCAGCAGTTTGTTTAGTTCATTATATTCCACAAATAAGTGAGATCATGTGATATTTGTCTTTCTCTGCTTGGCTTGTTTTGCTTAGCATAATACTCTGCAGGTCCTTCCATGCCATCTCAAAGGATAAGAGATCTTTCTTACAGCTGATAGTACTCCATTGTGTACATGTACCACAGCTTTTTTATCCACTCATCTACTGATGGACATTTGGGTTGTTTCCATATCTTAGCTATTGTAAATAGTGCTGCTATGAACATAGGGGTAACATATATTCTTTTTGGTGTTTCAGGTTTCTTAGGGTATATTCCTAGAAGTGGATCACTGGGTCAAATGGCAGTTCAATCTTTAACTTTTTGAGGTAACACCATAAAAATATGGAACGTTTCACAAATTTGCATGTCATCCTTGTGCAGGGGCCATGCTAATCTTCTCTGTATCGTTCCAATTTTAGCATATGTGCTGCGGAAGCAGGCACTGATTTACTAGTATTTTGTTTAAGATTTCTGCATCTGTATTTATCAGAGATACTGGTCTATATTTTTCTTTTCTTGTGTGATCTTTGCCAGGTTTTGATATCTGGGTTATGTTGGCCTCATAAAATGTGTGACGAAGTATTGCCTCTTCTTCAATTTTTTGAAGAGTTTGAGAAGAACAGGTTTTAAATCTTCTTTGACTATTTGGTAGAATTCACTAGTGAAGACATCTGGTCCTAGATTTTTATTTTGGGGGAGTTTTTTAAAAGAGAGAAACATTACATCAATTGGTTGCCTCTTACAGGGCCCCAACCAGGGCTGGGACCCCACTGCAATTGAGGTACTGAGGTATATGCCCTCGACTGAAATCAAACCCAAGACTCTGGTCCGCCAGCCTATGCTCTAACCGCTGAGCAAAACCAGCCAGTGCTATTTTGGGGGAGGTTTTTGATGTTTGTTTCAATTTCCTCACTTCTGATTGGTCTATTTAGATTTTTCCAATTCTTTGTGATTCAGTCTAGGAAGCTTATATAGTTCTAGGATCTCATGCATTTTTCTAAGCCTTTCATAGTATTCTAGTATATCCTCTGTATATCTGTGATATCTATGGTATCTTCTCTTTCATTTCTGGTTTTTTTTAAACTGATTTTTAGAGAGAGAGAAACGAAGAGGGAGAGAAACATTTTAGAGAGAGAGGGAGAGGGAGAAAAACAATGATGTGAGAGCAGAATAATATCAATAGGCTGCTCCTCCACAGCCCCCTCACTGGGGATCAAGCCCGCAACCCGGGCATGTGCCCTGATCAGGAATCAAAGTAGCAACCCTTCAGTGCACAGGACAACACCCAACCAACTGAGCCACACTGCCAGGGCTCATTTCTGATTTTGTTTATATGAATCTTTTCTCTTTCTTCTTTAGTGAGTCTAGCCAGGGGTTTATCTATTTTATCTTTGTTGTATTAAATTTTTGTATAGTCTTTTTGGTTTTTATTTCATTCAATTCTGCTCTAATTTTTATTTCTTTTTTCTGCTAATTTTGGGTTGCTTTGTTCTTCTTTTTCTAGTTCTTTAAGACGTAATATTAGGTTGTTTACCTGGGATTCCTCTTATTTCTTGATTAGGCCTGTAATGATATAAACTTCTCCCTTATTACTGCTTTCACTACATCACAAAGTTTAGATATGTAGTACTGTCGTTCTCATCTGTCTCTATACATCTTTGGATTTCACCTTTTATTTCTTCTTTGATCCAGTCATTTTGTAGTAGTATGTTGTTTAATCTCTACATATTTGTGGGTTTATTTCCTTTTTGCAGATCTCTAATGTCAATGCATTCTAGTCAGAAAATATGCCTGGTATAATTTCAATCTTCCTGAATTTGCTGGGACTAGTTTTGTGACCCAACATATGGTCTATTCTTCAGAATGTTCTATGTGCACTAGAGAAGAATGTATAATTTGATATTCTGGGATGAAAGGCTCTGTAAATGTCGATTATGTCCATTTGGTCTAATGTGCCATTAAGGTCTATATTTCTTTATATTGATTTTCTGTTTGGATCATTTTCCTAGAGTTCTCAATAAAGTACTAAGGTCTCCAAGTATGATTATATTTTGGTCTGTTTCTCCCTGTAGTTCTGTGAGTAGTTGCTTTACATATTTCCGTGCTCCCTGACTGGGTGCCTATATATTAAGACATGTTATGTCTTCTTGATGTAGTGTCCCCTTTATCATTATAAAATGTCCATCTCTGTCTCATTATCTTTGTTATCCTGAAATCTCTTTTGTCAGATAGAATTATGGCTACACCTCCTTTTCTGTGGATGTTATCTGCTTGAAGAATCATTTTCCACCCTTTCACTTTGAATCTACCTTTGTTTTTGTAGCTTAGGTGTATCTCCTGAAGGCAGCATATCATTGGGTTTTGTTTTTTGATCCAATCTGCTGCTCTCTGCCTCTTTACTGGTGAATTTACATTTAGGATAATTTTTGATATATGAGGATTTCCTACAGCCATTTTTTCTTTTGTTTTCTGGTGGCCCTGTGCCTCCATTGGTTCTTTTCCTTTGTGTTTCTGTCTTGTTTTGCTTGATAGTATTCCATACTTCTCTCCTGTTTCCTCTTTTTATTTTTTAAATATATTTTTATTGATTTTTTAGAGAGAAAGGAAGGGAGAGATAGAAATATTGATGTGAGAGAGAAACGTCAAGGGGCTGCCTTCTGTGTGTCCCCTACTGGGGATCCAGCCCGCACCCCAGGCATGTGCTATGACAGGGAATTGAAGCAGCAACCTCTCAGGCCTTGGGATGACACTCAATCCACTGAGCCATACAGGCCAGGTTGTTTCCTCTTTTTAAAAGTTATGTCTCAATTTTGTTTTGTGTGTGTATGTATAGTTACCATTTGGTTTATGAAAAAGAAAATTTCATATATACAGTAATTTGTTTTTCTTTTGAATGCATTTGATCATGTTTACCACGTGGACAGGTGTCCCAAAGCATCTGATTGCTTACTGGCTGATTTCCTGGAAATCACTACCTAGGGAAGTATGAAGAAATAGACAGATGACTCCAAATAAGTGTAATAAGTTTCAACCAGAAAAAAGAAGCTGAAAATATCAGGTCCATCTGTAGGAATAAGTAAAAGAAGAGACTGAGCCTAGAGGAGTCTCATGGCCTCCACTCCCCTGGTCCAACCAAACAGAGCCTGAGGGCCAAGGTCCCAGAGCACCGTACACTGGAGCCCTTTCCAATGTCTAGCGAGTAGATCTCGTGTTCTTCAACCACACTCCCCCTACTGCTGGCCTCACATCACATGAAAATCTCCTATTACTACGTCTTTGTCTTTCCTCTGACATAGGAAGTTTGCTCCATAGTAAAAAGAAAATAAAAGACTACAGAATGTTTTACAAGTTCAAAGAGAGCAACTCAGGATTTGTTTAAAGTATGTAAAGAGGCAGTTTCGTGATCCTAGACCTTGCCAATACTTATTTCTCATGGAAGCTAGTGACAGAATTTTACCAGTGAATTCACTTACCAATGAATTTTATCTATCTCAAATAATGGGAAGAATCATACACATATCTTCAGGGCCAGACCTTTCTCTCCATTAGGCTCTTAGATTTTGTGGAATTTGTTTTTGGTTTGGTATTAAAGGTGTTTATTTTTATATTTGAAATATATTTTAATTTGGCCAACAAGAAATACATTTTAAAAATTATTACCTTCATTGACTTTCTCAGGATGCCATCCTGTTGTCCAACCCAGGGAAAATGTCACATCTGGAAAGAAGGATGTCACGGTGTCTGTAAAAGGTTTTGCATCCACTACTCTGCTATTTCCATTTGGACCAGGAAGAATATCAGCATTAATCCATACAGGACGCTTCAGATGCCCCTTCACATTTTCCAAGAGCATCATGGCTGGTTCTACAGCTGCCAGACTGAAAACACAGTTTGTCGTCAATGAGAGATATTCCTAAAGTAAAAGTAAAAGAATGTTCTTTTAGACTAGTGGTTTTAATGTTCTCAAATTCATAATAAAAAGTATAACACAGCCCTGGCCAGTATGGCTCAGCGGTTAGAGTGTTGGCCCGTGGATCAGAGAGTCCTGGGTTCAGTTCCTGTTAAGGGCACGTACCTCGGTTGCCGTTTGTCCCCGGCCCCAGTTGGGGTCATGTGGGTGGTGACCAGCCGATGTGTCTCTCTTGTGCAGATGTTTCTCTCTCTCTTTTTCCCTCTCTCCCTCCTGCTCTATCTGAAGATAAATGCAAAAATATCCTCGGGTGAGGATTAAAAAAAAAAGTATAATACAGTAATGCCTGAATTAAATAAAATCAAAGATCACTTAGCATCAGAGAGGAAAATTAACATATGCCGTATCTCCAAATGTTGACTCATACTTATTATTCATGAAGGCACCGTCAAGTTTCTGTAAATCCATGAATAATGCCACTTGTGGACAGACGGAGGTTTCAGAATTCCATATCAGGATCACTCAGTATAAAAACAATTTAAGAAAAGATACACATATTCACTCATCAGAGGATATGTAAGATTTTAAAATTAGATGTACTCATAACCTAGAAATCCACATTTATGAAAATATTCAAAATGCACCCATGCACCATGTCTCTAATACTGCTCACGATCTTGGAGAAAAGAACCTCTTTTCTTTTGTGTAGTCTGGTAAAACACATTTCTAAGAATGACTACAAAGTATAAAATTACAAAATTTTCTCAAGGTTTTTATAAACTTCACCCCCACACACACTTTAATGTAAACATGTTTTTTTGGAAACTAGAGACAACTATATTTAACTTTTTTTTTTTTTTTTTTTTATCCTCACCCGAGGACACTTTCCCATTTCTTTGTTCAGGTAGAGTGGGAGGGAGAGAGAGGAACAGAGAGAGAGAGAGAAACATCGATGTGAAAGGAACACATCGAGTGGCCGCCACCCGCACGACCAACCAGGGCCGGGGACAAACTGCAACCGAGGTACGCGCCCTTAGCGGGAACCGAACCCGGGTCTCTCCGGACCGCAGGTCGACGCTCTAACCGCTGAGCCAAACCGGCCAGGGCTATATTTAACTTTTAAATAAAAAAAACTTCACTCTTGTATTTCCTAACATCTATTCTGAAACCTAGACATTTTGAAACAATAAGGTTTTAATCAGGTTACATAAATTTTCCTTTTAAAAACATGTATACACAAACTTTACTGAAAAACTACACTAGTTATAATTCTGAATCTTTAAGGCCTTTGTTGATTTCTAAGAAAATTAGCTTTTAGAGAATGCTGCCATGGGAAGCTAAGAACTTGGGGGATGGATGTTGGAGGGAAAAACATTCGGCACCCCCTCCTCACACTTCTATCTTTTTTCCTAAGGGACTGGAATTCTTTTGCCTATGATTCTACCGCTTTTTACTCCACTCCTTTTGGGCCCTCGACTTTAAGAAGAGAAACTGATCCCATTTTTTCTTGGGTCATGTTTATTAGTGAGCAAAGATATTACACATTAAAACCAGAAGAAACCAACCTCTAGCCTTTTACTCTGCTCCCATGTGATAAGCTCTTTTTCCCCACTCTTCTGCCCTGGGAATGGAGGGCCTAGTTTTACATATACATATATATATATATTTTTTTTAATTAAAAAATTTTTTTCTATTACAGTTAACAGTTAATATTATTTTGTATTAGTTTCAGGTGTATGCGCAGTGGTTAGACAATCATATACTTTACAAAGTTTCTCCCTGATATTTCCAGTACCTACCTAGCACCATGCATAGTTATTACAATATTATTGACTATATTCCCTATGCTGTACTTTACATCCCTGTGACTATTGTATAACTACCAATCTGTACTTCTCAATCCCTTCACCTTTTTCATCCAGTCTCCCAACCCACGTCCCCCTCTGGCAACCATCAGTCTGTTCTCTGTATCTATGAGTCTGTTTCTGTTCTGTTGTTCGTTTGTATTGTTCTTTAGATTCCACATATCAGTGACATCATATGGTATTTGGCTTTCCCTGTCTGACTTACTTCACTTAGCTAGGTCCATCCATGCTGTCGCAAATGGTAATATCTCATTCTTTTTTATTGTAGGCCCTAGACTTTAGTGGATTAATAAACTCTAATGCTGGACTTTGTAGATTCTAATTCAGATGTGGTTTTTGTTTTTTTTTTTTATCCTCACCTGAGGACATTTTCCCATTTTTTTGCTCAGGTAGAGTGGGAGGGAGAGAGAGGAACAGAGAGAGAGAGAGAAACATCGACGTGAAAGGAACACATCGAGTGGCTGCCACCTGCACGACCGACCAGGGCCGGGGACAAACTGCAACCGAGGTACGTGCCCTTAGCGGGAACCGAACCCGGGTCTCTCAGGACCGCAGGTCGACGCTCTAACCGCTGAGCCAAACCGGCCAGGGCCAGATGTTTCATTTCTCTGTCTCAAATGCTCTCTGCCTTGGATGGTATCGATACTATGTTAACACCACAATTCTGAGACTCTGACACTGTACTTCCTATGAATTCCCCCATTTTGGGTAGCAAGCAACTTGTACCTGTGACTCCAAATCTTGCTTGTCTGCAAGTCTTATTGGGTTCTGCTTTTCCTGGGTGGGGCAGGGGGAAACCCTAAAACTCTTTTCGAGAAAGGACTCTGATTTCTTACGTAATCTGGTGTCTGCAGAGGTTGGAGGAACTTTTTAGTCTTTCTCAATTTAGTATGCTGACACAGGGCTAAAGTTTAACACTGGTTTTTCATCTGACAATATCCAGTGTCAAACAGCATTTTCTCCCCAAAATTGAAATTTCATCAGCATATACAGGGTGGGGCAAAAGTAGGTTTACAGTTGTTTGTATGGAAAATAATACAATAATTAATCAATAACAATACAAGAACAAACTCTGCTTCACGTATTCACAACTGCAAACCTACTTTGCCCTACCCTGTGTGTTAGTTTACTGCATCAAATGTTGTGTAGTAAGAAGCTGTGGCACAGAACACAATGGAGCAAGAATTTAATACACATATTCCATTTTATATGTAAATATTTTAGTTATCACTAATACAGACTACTAATATAAAAAGTAATGATACTCTCCCTTACCAGAAACTTAAATAAGAAAAGAAAAAAAAAACCTACATTAAGAAACACAAAACCTTTCTAAGGGAAATAAAACTTTTGTTGTTATAGTTCTTATTTTTCTAGAACTTGACAAAATAATTCTAAAAGAGTAAATGTGGAGGAAAAGCCTTGAAGACTCAATATTGTAAGTACTGCAAAATGACACAACCTTCCCAATTAAAATATAAATTCGATGTAATTCTAATTAAAAATACCAATAGCCAACATTCTCAATTCTTATACGTATTAGTATTAAGTTTCCCATAAAGAACTGTCAAAGGTTTGCCATGATGATCATTTGAAGAGGGAAGTCCTAAGCAGAATACTACCTAAAATTTCTTTTTGCTTAGCACTTTTCTAAATCCCCAGGAAAAAATACCTTAGTTTTTATAGAATAGGTACTTTTTCCTAAAAAGTTACTTGTGTGTCAAACTTCTGAGTATCACATTCCATTTTTCCATTAAATTCATTTAGAAATTAAGGTGACATAATTAAAATCATACTTAAGCCCTGGCCAGTTTTACTCAGTGGTTAGAGCGTCAGCCTGTGGTCCAGAGAGACCCGGGTTTGGTTCCCGCTAAGGGCATGTACCTCGGTTGCAGTTTGTTCCTGGCCCTGGTTGGGTCAAGGGGGTGACAGTCACTCGATACGTTCCTTTCAAGTCGATGTTTCTTTCTCTTTCTTTCTCTCTCTCTCTCTCTCTCTCTCTCTCTCTCTCTCTCTCCTTCCCACTCTATCTGAACAAAAAATAGAAAAATGTCCTCGGGTGAGGATTAAAAAATAAAAAAATAAAATAAAATCATACTTAAAATTGCAACAAACTACTTAAAATTACATTCTAAGGGATATAATTTTTTTACTAAAACTCCAAATAAAATTTTAAATCATCATATATTACTTACTTATTATTTGTATACTAAATAAAATAGCTAGTAAAAATTGACTGACATGTCATTCATCTACTCTTACAAAGGTCATAGAGAGTTTGCTTCAGGGTAAACTTGCCAGTCAGACTGGCAACACCCTTCAAATATAATATTACTAAAAAACCTGCAAAATCTTTTTTTAGTAGCTCAACCCTTTTGTGGTAGCTGTCACTTTTTAAGAATGAATGAGCTGATCTGACTGGCAAGGAGCCAAAGAATATATCACAGGGAATAATTCAAGGGGCAACAATAACCATACAAAAACCTGAGCACACAAAAAGGCAAAGATATCTAAAACTTTTAGTCACCAAGCATTAAAGATCAAATGCTTTGTTTCATGGTATAGAGAACACTGAACTGGCTCCAGGAAACCTGAAATCTGGTCCTAGCTCAGCTATCAAGCTTAGCTCTTATCCTTGGGTTAAGTCACTTAACCTCTCTGGGACTAAGTTTCTTTGTCAATTGAACCATTCACCACCCTAAAAGCTTTTCTTTTCTTCTTCTTTTAAATATGTTTTTATTTATTTATTTTAGAGAGAGAGATAGAAACATTGATGTGAGAGAGAAACACTGAATGGCCGCCTCCTGCACACCCCTCACTGGGATCAAGCCCGAAACCCAAGCATGTGCCCTGACCAGGAATCAAACAGGGACCTCTCAGTCCATGGGACAGTGCTCAATCCACTGAGCTACACCAGCCAGGCTAAGTTTTCCAATTTATGTAAATAGCTCTTTTATTTACCAACAATATAATGAGGTTTACTGGTGTATTTAGCCCAGTAATTAGAGTCATGTTAATAACCTTACGCATAAGATTTCCAAATCTTTATTAATTTCTTGAGATAATTCAATTCAAAAATATTGTTCAGAGATGAAGTAGATTTACCACAAATCCTAGATTTCCATAGAAGTTGCTTTTGTGGGGCTTATGGTGAACTTCTATGGTGTCACAATATATTTCTGGCTTTACCTGTAATTTTCACACTACCAAAATACCACAAAAGTAAAACTTACTGTGAAAGCCACAGGGAAGGAAATGACACTTAATCTTGCTCCTTCATTATCAATGCCTCCAAAATACTGTTTTTAAGGAACATTTCAAATATTAAAGAATTCTAAATAATTCCCTATACACAAATACAACATTATAAATCGAGGAGAACATGCATTAACTACCCCAACAAACTTCTCTCTACTCCTTCTCTCCTTGATTACCTTTTAACAAAAGTAGCATTTTTAATTTACCGTTCTATTATCACAATGGTCACTTGCAATAAATTCCTTTATAAAAACTAACTTAATGTTCCCCTCAAGGGATTCCCCAATAAACAATTCAAGCAAAGAGCTCAGTGAGTCTTAGATCCATTCCTAGAACATAGTCTGAAATTCCATTTCAATTTAGATAAAAGTACAAAGTTAGTTAGTCAGGCACAGATATAAGAGGCCATCTACTCCCCGTGCCCCAAATTATTCTATAACAACCAGAAGACTGAACATATTTGTACAAATACCTCTTGAAATCCAGCTTGATGCCTTTATTGCTTTTCATAACTTCAGCCAGCCATTCCTGTAGAGTATTATCACTGGTGGTTTCAGGAGGATGGGCCATGATGGGTTGGCGATGGTCTGATCCATCACTTGGGAGGAGGACATCAGCCTCTATCATGTGAGCAGTACCTGTCCAAATAAGAAAACTTAAGTTAATGCTTATAAAATAGGGACTTCAGAGCGTGCCATATCCAGTATCCTTTTGAGGAAGATAAAAGGAAGGACAGAAAACTCACATTTACTAGTAAGTACTAAGTGCCAGGTACTGGGCTAGGTCTTTATGCACTGTCCTTGTTTTTTACAAATGAGCAGACAGGTGGTAAGGAGTTAAATATTGTTCCCACACGGCATTTAAGCTGTTATCATATTATTTCATTTCTCCCCAGTATATAGCAAAGTTTGTATATAAAAGGAGGCTTAATAACTATTTAAGTTTCTGAGAATAAAAATAGTACTTTTATTTCCTTATTCCTCAAATTAGAAACACCAAACATTTATTCTTATGTTACAGATTCCGCTCTTTGACTTAAAGCTTAGCTACTGTTTAAAGGCTGTGGATAGAAAAGGGGCCACATTCTAAACAGGCTCAGGGGAGCCCGCAAGGCAAGCCTTACAAACTCAGAGACTGGAAATAAACACACAGGATGGTCTGAACATAAAAATGCCTAACTAAAAGCAAGTCACTGCAAATAATCACATCCTACTCTTTTAGCTTCCTTAACAAAAGTCAATCTTTAAGTAAGCCTGTCCATTGTCTTTTTGCATCTAAAATAACATACCCTTGGAATGTCAGAGTGATCCCCTTTTCCTGGACCCTCAGGGTATAACCTGCCACCAGAGCATGAGGCCACAGAACCCCTCATTGTTACCTTGTTCCTCACATACATCTCTATGTGCTGTAAATGTTAATTAACTATCCTATGCCCACCAATGTAGACAAAAGTATGAGTCTCTCCATTTTACTCTTTATCCAACCTCAGAACTGTCCCCACTTTGCTTTTTTCTGCCTCCTTAATCTATCACCAATGAATTTCATGTACCGTCCCCTTTACGTCTCCTCCTTTGATTCTAATGTACAAAATAAGCTGTAAAACTGTCATTCTGGAGCATTTTCTTAATCCAATGAGATTTTGCTTCCCAGCAATTGTTATTAGTTTGGTTCAAATAAACTTACAAAAATTCTCCACAGGTTTGGATGTTTCTTACATCGACAAAGCGCACGTCCCTGGAACTGATAATAAGCTCCACCAGTCACTTGGCTGTTTAGCAGGCTGTGGTAGACTGACTCCAAAGATGGCTGGCAATAACTCCTCCCATATACAAGCCTCTCTTCTCATTATCTTTCTTCTCCCCTTGAGTCTGGGCTTGCCTTGTGGCTTGCTTGACCAACAGAAGGTAATGGAAGCAAAACTGTCCGTTCTAGGCCTAGCCCTTCAAAGGCTTGGCAGCTGCCCTTCCATCTTCTTGGAAGCCACCATGCAAAGTTCAGGCAGACTGCTGAGGACAGCAACACCAGGGTCCCCAGCCTTCACCACCCAGAATAGAACAACCAGCTGACACAAAATCATGGGAAATTACAAACCACTGTTATTTTAAGCCACTAGGTCTGGAGGTAGTTTTTTATACAGCAATGAAGAAAAACCGTTTTCTGCAAGTGGAGAGTTGCCATGAAAGCCTGAAACATGACACTGACTGTAGGATCTGGTGGGATTCTAGATGGCAGGGAGTCAGGAGATGATGAAGAAGTTCTTATCGGAAGCTTGAGAACAGACATGTTTTATAAAGGAGTGGAACTTTTGGCAACATTGCCACTTGTACAGCAACTGGTGAAAGATAGACAGAGTACCTAACGAATCTGCGGCTTTGGCTACAGGGTTTTCCCTGCAGAAGGCTGGAAGTGCCAACTGGCTTCTTTCAGCTGCCCATGATGAAGAATGAGAAGAGAGACTGAAGTTAAATAACTAACTAGTCAAATTTTAAGCAGCATATGGAAATGTTTTCAATTCAGGACTTATGCTAAGTTAGAAAATGAAACCCATTCTCTTCAGCTGGCAAAAGATTCTCAAAGTAAGAATCAACTTCAGGGCAAAAGTCAAATCCAGAATGCTGCCAGTAAACTATGGCCTCAGGGTCACGATCAAATCAAGGTACAACTACAATACCATTTGTTAAAGAAAGATGGTGCCCTGGCCAGTTTGGCTTAGCGGACAGAGCATCAGCCCATGGACCAAAGGGTCCCAGGTTCCTGGGTTCAATTCCCAGTCAAGGGCATGTACCTGGGTTGCAGGTTTGATCCATGGCCTGGGCAGGAGGCAGCCAATTGATGTGTCTCTCTCATATCAATGTTTCTCTCTCTCTCTTTCTATCTCCTTCCCCCTTCCCTTCCACTCAATTAATAACAGAGAGAGAGAGAGAGAGAGAGAGAGAGAGAGAGAGATGGTGCCTCATGTACCCATACAGCTAGACAAAAGAAAGTGCAGAATCTGAAGGGTGTTGTCCCATAGCACCCTAACTAGCAGACCAAAGTAGAAAGAGGCCTACCCAAGAGATTTGAGGGTGAGGTTTTTGATTAGAGGAATGGTTTATGATTTGATATACGGAAAGCCCACTACTTTTAATGGAGCTGTATCGACTTGGACCCACAGAGACAGAAGTAGCTCGAATTGAAAAGAGGTCTGTGGGCTCTCACATCTCCACAGGTAAGAAACAGGCTGAAAAAGCTACCCAGCTGGAAATATGAGCCATTTTCCAATAAAAACATGAAGAGATAATCTACATCATTAGGCCAACCTTAGGCTTTATGTAAATGCAAATCTAAACAACAATGAGATACTAATTCATACACACTAGGAAGGTTATAATGAAAAATACAGACATAACACCTGTTGACAAGGACATGGAGAAATCAGAACCCTCGTTCACTCTGCCAGTGGGAATGTAAAAAGATACAGCTGCTTTAGAAAAGTTTTGTAGTTCCTCAAAAACTTAAATATAGTGTTACCATGTAACCTAGCAATTCCAGTCCTAGACACATATACAAGGGAAGCAAGGGAAATAAACACGTGTCCACACAAGATTTGTATATAATTGTCCACAGCAGCATTATTTATAGTAGCCAAGAAATGGAAAAAAACCTAAATTGGTCATCAAAAAATGATGTAACATACAATTAAATACTATTCAGCCACAAAAGTGAATGAAGTACTGATACATGTTACAATATAGGTGAATCTGGAAAGCATGTTAAGTGAAATAAGTAAGTCAGAAAAGGCCACATGTAAAGGAAAAGTACAAAGTGCTACCTTGAATTTTGATTCCAGGGCCAGGAAAAGTCTCTTTGAGGAAGTGGCAATTCAGCTGATATCCAAGGATGTGTAAGAGGTTATCCAAGCAAAGTGTGGCGAGAAATCTTTCCAAGAAAGCATATTTATGAAGCCTAAGGAGGAAAAGAGCTTAGCCATGTGAGGAACTGTAGGCCAGCATAGCTGGAAAGTAAGAATCCTGAGACAGGCGACGTTGGAGAAATGGGCCAGCTTATTCAGGGCTTCACAGGTTACTGTGGTGGTTTGAAGACCGTAATAAATAGCTCCCCTTCTCCACATGGATTCTGAGAAATAAAACAGCCAAGTTGGCAGGTGGGGTTCACGTATTACCTTTATTACCTATAAAGCTGGGTCAGAGGTGCAGCTTAGCTGAGAGCTAGATGAGCTTGCCGACTCCTAACTTCCACCAGCACCTCCCAGTCCAAACTCTGGAACAGCCTTTTTGAAGCAAAGTTCCAGCAAATACAAATCCCTAGACTGCTGCCTCCCACTGTCCAGGTGAAGAGGAGAGAGGAGCACACTCCTTTGCCCAGAACCTTTGGTAGGTCAGCTCTACCCAGTCAAAAACCACACACCAAAAAATTATCTTTACCCCTGTGGGAGGAATATCAGTGAGGCAAGACTCCAAAGCACTTAGGGAAATAGCTCACCTCCTGGAAACCAGAATGGCAGAATTAAATGAATTCCCACCTGACAGTTATATTAAGGATTTTTAATGGAAAACCATTAAAGGGCTTTAAGCAAAAAAGGCCTGATTTATCTTTAAAGACATCACCTTGGATACAAGGTGGAAAATGAACTGAATAGGAGCAAAAGCAGAAGTAGAGAAATGATTTAATAAATTAGGGCTGACTCATATCTACTAGATGCTTCTGGAGGCAAGTTCACAGAAATTCAGATTCAAGCGAATAAAGAAAAGTATTATCTCAGATAACTAGAAGTCCAGAGGGATGGTGGGCTCCAGGTGTGATACAATCAGCAGCTCTGTGACATTATCAGGGTCTCCATCCTTAACTATCCTTGGTGGGTCTTCAGGCTGATTTCCATTATGATGGTAAGATGGCTACCCATACCACTGGGGCACATACTCTCATGTTCATATATTTCAGTTTTAAGGTAGAAATCTTCTTCTGAGCCAGGTTGGATAACTTGCCCATCATGGGAATAATACTGACACAGTACACAAACCACACTGACAAGCTTAAAACTGGTTCTGCTCCCTTAAAGCAGATCGGTGATTAATACAATCCTTGAGTTACTGTACAGAGACAGTCCTGCGCATGTGCTACCCCTGTCCTCCCGCTGCCTCCAGAACCAAAGGATTGGGACGTAACTGGAACTCGAACACTGGAACACTTTCAGAAGCAAAGGGTCTGTTGTCTGGGAAGGTCCAGTGCCAAAGCCTCTGACCATAAATGGCCAAGTTCCAAAACTCTCCAATGAAACCTCCCCACCAGTGCTTCTGCATACCTGTTCCCTCTAACGCATTCAAACCCTCCGATTCTACGCCATCAGGAAGTTCAGGCTTTTGAACAACAGCTGTCCACTTCTTCTTGAGGAATGCTAGCAATAAAGCAACCCTAATTTCTCCACTGTAATTCTTGGTATTCAGTGTTTGGTTCTGCTGGTGCCAGGTGGAGAAACTTTTTCTGTCCCATAACAATATGAGTCATCAAGGGAACTCCAGCAAGTGCTGATGACCTTATTCTAACCCACCCCTGGGTCTAGGAAAGGAGTCAGCTTCCACGTGGTTGTATGGATTCCCCAAACTATAAAACTCGGGGCTCTGGTTGTCTGACAGAAAGAAAAGAGGGTATTATCTGAAGACTAAGTAACCCATGAAAACTTCCCAGATCAACAGACTGTCAGCAACTGGAGATAACTTACCATTAGTAATTTTTAAAATAGTTAAAAGGAAAGTACTCATATTTATCTAGATTATTTCTAGATGTGAAACTTCTACATATTCTATTTTTGAATGATAAATTTTTAAGATTTTCCCCCCAAATTTTTAGTTGTTGCTACACAAAAATACAATTTATTTTTTATTTTGATTTGTATTGACCTATGATTTACCTATGATTTATAATAATTTATCTGTAGAATCTTTTTGTTTTTCTATGTAACAACCATATTGACTGTCAATAACAATTTTTTCATTTTTTATCTTGTTTCCATTTTTTTAATTGACATATAATTGACATACTATAAAATTCACCCTACCCCAGTTAGAGCGTCAGCCCACAGACCAAAGAATCTCAGGTTCAATTCCAGTCAGGGGCACGTACCTCAGTTGCAGTTTGGTCCCAACCCTTGTCGGGGTCGTATGGGAGGCAACCAGTAGATGTGTCTCCCTTACACTGATTTCTCTCTCTCTCTCCCTCCCTTCTACTCTATCTGAAGATAAATGAAAAAATATCCTCAGGTAAGGATTTAAAAAAAAATTCACCCTGCCCTGGCCGGTTTGGCTCAGCGGTTAGAGCGTTGGCCTGCGGTCCTGAGAGACCCAGGTTCGGTTCCTGCTAAGGGCATGTACCTTGGCTGCAGTTTGTCCCCAGCCCTGGTTGGGTCATGTGGGTGGCAACCACTCCACGTGTCCCTTTCACGTCGATGTTTCTCTCTCTCTCTCTCTCTCCCTCCTACTCTATCTGAACAAAAAATGGAAAAATGTCCTCGGGTGAGGATAAAAGAAAAAAAAAATTCACCCTTTTAAATGTAACATTCAGTGTTTTCAGAATATTCAGAAGGTTGTGCAACCATCACCACTATCTAATTCCAGAAAATTTTCATCATCCCAAAAAGAAACCCTGTACCCATCAGCATTCATTCCCTATTCCCTACTCCTACCAGCTCCTGGCAACCATGAATCAACTTTTCTCCTGAAGCATTGTTTTTGCTAAAATTCATCTATTAAATAATCACAGTACTGTATTATATGCCAGGCACTGTTTTAGGTATTAGGGAGTTGATATTAAATAAGACAGATTTGACTAACAAAGAAAAGCAATTCAAAACAGTATTTTTACAATGGATATTTCTTCCATTGTAAAATGCATATTCAGATACATTATCTAGACATATGACTGAAGTAGGATGCAAAAAATGCATACATTTTACAATAAAACATGGGACTCCAAGGAATTTTCCTTGTTGGCCCAGGTCACTTCAAGCTATGTCTCAGCCCTCTACTGACAGACTTTCACTCTTCTCTGCTGCTACAGCCAACAGGGGCACTTCATGGGAAAAGGCTGAGATAATACTGCAACGTTCATCTATATAATGAAGGGAGATATGTATACATATGATTATAAATGGTTTCTAGCCAAGGCATAAATACTGCCCAACGCAATTAATTATAAATTAGTATACAATGGCTTCATCCATCTATTCAACAATTATTTATTGAGCTTCTCCTTAGTACACTGTGAAAGATATAAAAACATGTAAGACACATGATCCTGGTCTTTAAAATTTTCCTCAAATCACTATGGTACGTAAGCAAATGTAATAATATATGACAGTTTCAAATAACACATAGAAAAGGCAAATCACTTCCAGAAAATAAGAAATTTCTTCCATTATGAAAATGTGTTTACTTTGTAAGTATAATGAGATCCTTTATAAAAATGTTTATATCAACCTAGAATTGAAGTCTCTGGTACCTGCAAATGTGCTCAGATATATTTTTTTAAAAAGGAGTTAAATTCATGTTATCTAATGTATATATAAGTAACGGTACTGACTTACTTCTCAGAGCCTCATTCACTTGTGCCTTGTGGTTAGCAGCGTGATACCAGGTGATCTGGGCGCCATCTTCTTTTGTGATCTGGTTATTTCTCAGAAAATATTGCAGTATATTTTCACTCCAAGATCCTAAAATAACAGCATTTTAATAAAGAAGAATAGACTGTTTTATATGAAGTAAAAACATTTTTAATAAAAAAGGACACAGCATATATATAGAGAGAATGATAAAGTAATTAAACCGAGAAAAACGAGAATTTAAAAAGTTAGAACAAGTATTATGATGTGGCAGGTATTTAATATATACAAATATATAAACATGCTATATGTGATATAAGTAATAATTAGTAAACATATACAATAATCTGGACCTCAGCAGCATGAAAAAATGTGAAGAAAAAAAAAATTAAGAAACAGATATTTTAAAGCAGGAATTTTTACACGTCATCTTAATTCCTGGTCTCATAAATAAGTAAAATATATGTAAAGCCAAAGCTATATTAAAAGCTTCTAAATTTTACACAATGTAATTATTTTCTCCACCTGAAACCCCATTCCATATTTATATTAACAATTTAGTATCTTAAATTGCACATTTAAGCATATTTACCTTTAGATTGTGAGTCTTAGCAATATTTACATGAGTGACTAAGTAAACCCCTGAGTTAATATTCACAGATTTATCTAGCTTGTACAAATATACATAATTCCCATACCTATCAACTATTTTTTGGCAGACCAGATTTTCTCTTTTTTTGTTTGTTTGTTTTTTTATCCTCATCTGAGGACATTTTTGCATTTATCTTCAGATACAGTGGGAGGGAGAAAGGGACAAAGAGAGATAGAGAAACATCGATGTGAGAGAGACACATCGAGTAGTTGCCACTTGCACAACCCCAACTGGGGCCGCACAATCCAACCTGGGGCTGGGGACAAACTGCAATTGACGCACGTGCTCTTAGCGGGAACTGAACCTGGGAGTCTCTGGTCTGCAGGCCAATGCTCTAACCGCTAAGCCAAACTGGCCAGGGCCAGATTTTCTCTTAATTAAACATTAAGTCCGGCTGGTGTGGCTCAATTGGTTGAGTGTTAACCCATGCACCAAGAGGTCACCGGTTCAATTCCTGGTCAGGACACAAGCCCAGGTTGTGGGCCCGATTCCCAGTGGGGGGCATGCAGGAGGCAGCCAATCGATGTTCTCTCTCATTGATGTTTCTCTCTCTCTCTTCCTCTCATTTCCTCTCTCTGTAAAATCAATAAAAAAAAGGGAAAAAATGTAAACATTAATACATGAGTTAACTGAGACTGAAACACTTGAATCCAGGTCTACCCCAAATAATTGCATATTTTACAATAACAATGCGAAAAAGCTGAAAAACAATGAAAACAGTTATCTATAATCTTATCTCCCTAATTCTTGTTCATTTATTTAAACCTTTAAGTGTCTACCAAGTGGCTAAAAATTCCCTATGCACGAGATTGTGTCTTTTGTTAATTATTTGTTTATTAATTCTGCCTAACAACAGTTAAAAAACTAAAAATGGCCATCATAAACTGCTGAGAAAAAGTAAAATTTGATGAGAGAATGGAGGAGCATATAATTTCAAACTAACATGCATGAGACTTCGTAACTACTTAGTAACTACTCTGTATGTTTGGCTACAAAATGAAGTAAAGGCTGTCCTAGCCGGTTTGGCTCAGCGGTTAGAGCGCCAGCCAGAGGACCAAAGAGTCCCGGGTTCGGTTCCCACTAAAGGCAGGTACCTCCGTTGGAGTTTGTCCCCAGCCCCAGATGGGGTTGTGTCCAGATGGGGTTGTGTGGGTGGCAACCACTTGATGTGTCTCCACATGAATGGTTCTCTCTGTCTCTCCCTCCTGCTCTATCTGAAGATAAATGCAAAAATGTCCTCAGGTGAGGATAAAAAAAAAAAAAAAAAAGTGAAGGAGAGAATTAGCTGTAGCATCCAAAATCCCCCAAGCAGTTTCCTACCCAAAACACCTGCCAAAACACTTGGCCCTACTTAGCATATGTAATAGAGTCAGAGACTTTTAGATGAAAATACATGGCCATAATTTTTTAAATATTTGTTAGGCATTCTTTATTTTTAAAAATATTTTTATTGATTTTTAGAGAGAAAGGAAGGGGCAAGGAGAGAAAAACATTGATGTAAAAGCGAAACATCAATCTGCTCCCTCCTGCCCACCTCCTACCCAAAATTGGGGAATGTGCCCAAAATCGGGAAAGGCACCGGCAACCTTTGGTGCACACGATGACACCTAACCATCTGAGCCACACCAGCCAGGGCAAGTTAGGCATTTTTAGAAGGCACAGTATTGGCTACAACAGACATCTCCACCAATGAGAAAATAATTAAGTCATAGTATATTCTCAAGATAAAATATGTGACTGATGTGCATGCTGACAATGAAGTTTTTGACATACATGAGGAACCACACAAAAAGGGTAATCATGTATGTTACCAAGGAAAAAACTAAAGACTGAACGCTGTTAAGATGTCAGTACTTTCCAACTTGATCTATAGATTCAAGCAATCCTAAACATCGATGTGAAAATGCAACATCGATCGCCATCCACCTCCCCCCACCCCACCCCACCCCCAATCAGGGATCCAGCTTGAAACCAGATCATGTGCCCTGACCGGTAATCAAATAGGCAACCCCTGGTGCAACTGAGCCACACCAGCCAGGGCATATTCTAAAGTTTATATGGAGGGCAAAAACAAACAAACAAAAAACAGAAGAGCCAACACAATATTGAAGGAGAACAAAGTTATGACACTACCCAACGTCAAAACTTACTACAAGTAAGAGATGAGGTAAGAGTTGAATAGGTGGAACACAGAGTATTCTGAGGCAGAAAAACTATTTTGTATGGTACATGTCGTTATACATTTGTCTAAACCCACAGAATGTACAGCACCAAGAAAGAACCCTGGTGAACTGCGGACTTTGGGTGATTATTATGTGTCAATGCAGGTTCACAATTGTAACTCTCTCTGGGGAATGTTGATAATGGGGAAGCAGTACGGGTATCCAGGTAGGGGGTATATGAAGAATCTGTTTCTCACTTCAATTTTCCTATGAACCTAAACCTTCTCTTCAAAAAAAAAAAAAAAAAATACACACACACACACAGAGTATATATTTCTTAAAAGGGCGTAATATTCTTGCCATTCTTGTCGCCCCTAAGGCTTTTTTTTTTTTCTCTTAACATCCAGTGGGAACTAAGGTCCCAGGCCAGTGGGTTGTGGGTGCGCGCTGAGAATGCAGAGCGCGAGGATCTAAAACAGAAAGGGGTGCTGCCAGAGGAGTCTCTCAAAGCGCCCCCTTCTCCCACCCCTTCCCCTGCGCGAAGCCAGAGAAAATGCAGGACGCGGAGCCCTTTCTGAGGAGCGGGGGACAAGCGCTTACCAGGGCCCCCTACTATCGTTGCCATGGTGACGGACGCCCGCAGTCCGCGCAGGCGCTAAGCGGTGGGCACCTCGGTGGACCGGCCACAGGTGGCGTGGAAACGAGACTCAACAAACGACGGAAGAGCGGCCTCCAAGGGAGGCCTGGGAAGCAGCTTGAGAAGCGGAGGCGGCAGCGGCCTGCTGAGTGGGGATGCGCACGCGCAGAAACTGTGGCTCGAGTTTTGCTTGCGCGCAGACTCCGCGTCTGGTGCCGTCGTCCAAGTGTCGCGCGAACTGTTCTTTTGGAAGGTAGTCCGAAAACAGGTAGTTCTGAAGGTCGCCCGCCAGGTCAGGGAAGACAGGGGCCGCGGATGAGACCCAAGATTGAAAGTAATTGCTGGTGTGGGCTATGATTTTCCAAAGTTGGATATATTCTCATTTTAATTTTAGTAACATGCTAAAATGGCATGGACTCATTCCTTCATAAAAATGAGTGTTTCTGCACAAGGGTAGGAACTGATCACTTGAAAGTTTCCTGTCCCCCTCTTCTCTCTTCACCAGTGTTCACTCAGAAAACACTCCTAGCAACTGGATTTTCACACCCACTGCCCTCTTTGCCCTCCTTACTTTCTGCAGCCACTCTGAGGGTGGAGAAAGAACAATGGTGCAGATTTACCTCAATTAGCCCTGGCATTTTCTGGTTCTGTGACTAATACAGTTAACACTGTCAGATGTAAACTTAGGATAACAATACATCACCTCATACATAACGCAAAGGCATCTCTTCTCACCCAGCCTTTCAGATTTTCATATACCAGAGTCTTTCTAGACTTGTTATAATTATTCCAAGCTCTCTTCAATCAGGCTTCCCTATTTTCTGCATGCCTAGCTTAATCAAAAAGATTTCTTGAGTTTCAGAAAACACTAAATATTATTGACTAAAGCGGTATTTTTTAAAAAAGCTTTATTGAGATATACAATTGATTGACTTGTATCTGATTTGCATTTCCTTTATAATTTAAAATGTCATACATTTAAAGTGTACAAATTCATCGTATTCATAATGTAGTCAGAATTATGCAGCCTGCACTACAGTCAACTTGAGAACATTTTCATCACCCCAAAGCACTCACTCCACACTTCCTCCGAGCCCTGTGCAACTACTAATCTACTTTCTGTTTACGAATTTGCTTATTCTAGACATTTCATATAAATGTAATCATACAATATATAGTCTTTTGTGACTAGCTTCTTTCACTTAGAATATTTTCTTTTTTTTTTTTATCCTCACCCGAGAACATTTTTCCATATTTTGTTCAGATAGAGTGGGAGGGAGGCAGAGAGAGAGAAACATCGACGTGAAAGGGACACATTGAGTGGCTGCCACCTGCACAACCCAACCAGGGCCGGGGACAAACTGCAACCGAGGTACCTGCCCTTAGCGGGAACCAAACCTGGGTCTCTCTGGACCGCAGGCCGACGCTCCAACCGCTGAGCCAAACCGGCCAGGGCTAGCATAATATTTTCAAGTTTCACCCATATTGTGTGTATAAGTACTTTATTCTTTTTTATGGCCAAATAAAACTCCATTATTTGCATATGACATTTTATTTGTCCATTCATCAGTTGATGGACATTTGTATTCTTTCCACTTTTTGGCTACTAATAAATAATGCTGCTATGAACATTTATGTACAAGTTCTTTGTGGAAGGAAGTATGTGGACATATTTCTCTTGGGTATATGTACATGGGAATGGGACTGCTGGTTCATATGGTAACTTTATGATTCACTTTTTGAGGCACTGCAAGTTTTGCAAAACAGATGTACCATTTACATTCCCATGGCAATGTATGAGAATTCCAGTTTCTCCAAATCCCCACCAATACTTATGTTTTTTCTTAGATTACAGCCATCCCAGTTGATATAAAGTAATATCTCATTGTGATCTTCATTTATATTTCCCTAGAGTGACTAATAATGGTGAGCATATTTTCAAGTGCTTATTGACCATTTGTATATTTTCTTTGGAGACCTGTCTGTTCAAATCATTTTTACATTGGGTTATTTGTAGGGTTTTTGTTGGATTGTAAAAATTCTTTTAAAAATCTGACTACAAGTTACTTAACAGATACATTATTTGCAAATATTTTCTTCCGTTTTTACAGGTTGTCTTTTCACTTTTTTGATACTATCAGTTGCAGTTACAAAAGTTTTTATGGCCTATTGATCACAGTATTAGGTCAATATTTTCATAGATGTATAGTAACTGACTCAATTAAAATTCTTTTTCTTTCTTTTTTTTTTATCCTCACCTGAGGATATTTTTCCACTCTTGTTCTGACAGAGTGGGAGGGAGGGAGGGAGAGAGAAATCGGAATCGAACCCGCTACTCATTGGTCTGCAGGCCAAAGCTCTAATCACTGAGCCAAACTGGCCAAGGCTATCCCTTTGTTTTTTACTGTTTTCTTTTCTTTTCTCCCTATTTTATTCTACCATTAAACCTATTTATTTAAAATTCAGTTTTTATATAGTCTTGCAACATTTGTATTCAGTTCTTTCCCAAATCAGCTCCATCACTTTAGTTTCCCATTCTCTACAGGTACCTCATACTTGATTTTCTTTCTTTAAACACAAAAGGCATAAATCTAATGCCTAAGTCTGTATAAGTGTTTTCATTGTTTCTAATAATGCTTGCTTCTGGAATCTAGTTTCCATATGTGCCTACTTATTATTATTTTACTGTGTGTTAGATGTTATATTTGGAAAGTAATTTGAGGCCTACAGTGAGATGATTTTTCTATGGAGAGGATTTATATTTTTACTCCTCCCAGCACCAGGAGATATCACCAGTGTGGGACCACCTTAAAAGCAAGTTAAATACTAAAGATGCTTTGTGTGATGTAGGCAATTCCAAACTTGGCTATAATCATACATACTTTATACTTTTGGTTCATCCTCATCCAAAGTTTGAATCTCCTTGGGGTAAGTGTCAGCCTATTGTGGCAAAGTTCTGTTTGATTCACAACTCCTGTTAGATTCACCACTTTGTGTGGCCTTGAACTCTGATATCTGTTCCCCTTAACTCATAAGGTTGCCACTTAACTTTTTTTTACTTTGGACTGGACATCCCTTCCTGCCTTAAAATATCCATGTTTTAAGATGATTTAAAATTTTTTTTTCCTCATTGATTTTAGAAAGGGAGGAAGGAACAAGACGACAGAGATTGAAACACCGATGAGAGATAACATCTATTGGCCACCTCTTGCATGGCCCCTGCCGGGGATCGAGCTCACAACCCATGGTGCATGGGTCGATGCTCAACCACTGAGCCACACTGGCCAGGCAAGATGATTTTTTGTATCTTAATCAGCTTTAGTTGTTTTCAGCAGGAACATGATCTAAATATCCTATTATGTAATTTCCGGAAACAGGAAGCTTCCCATAATTGTATCTTTGTTGCCACATGGCCAAATCCTACTTTCTCTTTTAGTATTCTCTGCACTTAGCACATACTACTTGTGGCATGGAATCCCTAAATGTTGATAAGAAATATGCTAATTGTCAGAACAATTAATCATTTTTAGCAAGTTTTATTTATAGCTGCTCAAAGATATAGGTATCTTATATTTGTTGTCTCGTATTTGTTGCTGCATATAATAAATCGCTAGAAAACCTAACAGTTCAACACAACAAATGTTTATTATCTTACACAGTTGCTGAAATTCAGGAATCTGAGAATGACTTAGTTGAATGGTTCCCATGAGGTGGCAAACTTTTGGCTGGGGCTGCAATTTGAAGGCTTGACTGGGGCTGGAGAATCCACTTCCACTCGTTCGGCTGTTGTCAGACTTCAGTTCCTCACCAAGTGAGCCTCTCCATGGGGCTGCCCACACTTGGCAAATGGCTTCCCCAAGAGTGAATGATCCAATAGAAAAAGAGGGAGAAAGAGAGAGAGAGAGAGAGAGGGAGAGAGTGAGAGAGAGAGAGACACACACACAAAGAGGGAGGGAGGTAGGAAAGAAAAGAATAAAAGGAGGAGTGGGGAGAAATGCAGCAGAGATAGAAATCATAGAGTCTTTTATAACATAATCTTGGAAATGACATCCCATTCCTTCTGTCACATTCTATTGGTCATAAAGACCAACAATGATACAATGTGGGAGGGGACTACACAAGGGTGTGAATACCAGGAGGTAGGGAACATTATGGACTATCTTGGAGGCTTTCAAGCACCTTATTTTACCAAGAGAAAAAACTTTTATCATATTCAGAGGTTCATAATAAAGCATTGAATTAGACCTGTTTCTTCATTTGTAAAGAGCATGAAAATATGGTTTTAATTTTATCAATGCAAATGCAGAAAATATTTCCCAAAAGGTGTTACATTGTGTATCATTCTAAGCTAAATCTAGAACATAGAATGTAAAGATTTGAAACTAACAAACTGATGGAAAAAAATGTGTCAATTAAGTGATAAAAGGTAAATTTAGATAGTGAGGCTTAGTATCTGGTAGAAAAAAACAAAGATTTAAAATACAGCTCAAATAAAAAATAACCTTGTAAGTGTCTTAGTAATAAAAATTTTAAGAGAAAATAGTCCTCCTACTGAAACATACAGTCATAATTTCAATAATGGGTTTTCTTCTTGCCTTTCTGCAATAAGATGCTTTTATCAATCATTGAGTAAAACTGAGAAGCAATGAAATCTTTAAGATTCTAAATATAAACCATATCATTCGAAGTAACAGGTGTATTTAAAATTGTGTTTTTCAGTATAAATAGCATGCTACATTTGTATAAAAAAATGAAGGGAGCCCAGACTGGGTGGTTCAGTTGTTTAGAGCATTGTCCCATATACCAAAAAGGGTACAGGTTCAATTCCCAGTCAGGGCACATACTTAGGTTGCAGGTTCGATCCCCAGTGGGGGTGCATATGGGAGGCAACGGTCTGGCATCTATGTCTGTCTGTCTGTCTGTCTCTTTCTCTAAAATCAATAAAAACATACCCTTGGAGAAGGATAAAAAAAAAAAAAATGAAGGGGGAAAATATACATAAATATATATTATATAAATGGAACCTTTTTTTAAATCACACAAAAAAATTAAAACCTAGGATGGTTTGGAGGTTTCTGGTTTATTTCAAGATATTTTCTTTCTTTTTTAATCCTCTCAGGATA